TTCAACGAAGCTTAATTCTTCTTCTATCTTGTTGGGCGAACATAACTTCCTAGCCCTGTCGTACAGTGTCCTTACTAATCCCCGCTTATAGCTCATAGGGCAGAAGCTGTTGTAGTGAAGGTATTGTCCGGTCCAAGTCTCTTTTCTGTAGATGGACTTTTCGACCGTTCCATCGTCTCTTCTTTTTACATTTAGATCTAGGAAATAGAACTACGTTTTTAATCCCTAATAGGACAAAAAATTAATCTTCTTGATAATTATGATCCTACTATGTTTTTATCCGATCTTCTTGTTTATTTTGTTATTATTATATTTTCAATCCTTGTTTGTAATCCGACTTATTTGACCCTTGACCAGAAATAGTTCTGCAACTTTTTCACCCAGTTACTATAAACCTGGTAGCGTCGGTGGTATAGGGGTAGGTTGCTCGCTAACCACGCATGTCGTTTGGGGTTCTCTCTTCTATCATAGTCTCTTATGTCCACTCCATAGTACGTAGTTAGCTTTATCTACTCACCTAACATTACGGTCAATCTTCTAATCGTTTTATACCTATGCTATAAATTTATCTAGAATATTTATGTTCAACTAAATGATAGATACTATAAAGGTGTCTTAAAAGCTGTTTTTGTCATCGAAGTGAGAAAATATGCTCTTTAGATATTTCTCTACACAAAATCTATCATAATTACTTTTCTACAATCTGTAATATTACCTACATACACACTCTCACTCATCCTCTCACATAAAAAAACAAGGATACTTCAAAACAGAATAATTCAGCTGAAGTAGAATTCAGTGATTGCGTATGCACAGACTATACTTTATTCCATTGAAATGAGGTACAGCTAGTACTTTATATATACATATATTACTGTAAAGGACTGATAATAATCGATTATTATGCAGTAGCCAAATTAATGTGTTAAAAATGTTCACGTGTAAGCGTGTGTGCATTTTTCTGCTTACATTCTAATGATTGCTTGTTTTAGAAAGTATTTTTAAAGCAGTTTATTATTGATCTTTGTTCAAAAGTAAATATTGATTTTTTCTTTTATAAAAGTTGCTTAAAGATTACTCAGTCAATAATGACCTATTGTGTAGCGTGTAATAATGTCCGCTGGACATTTAATGAAAATCAATAAGATTAGAATAAGTTAAAATCTGTGTATTTAGAGTTTTATATGCACTCTAAGTTCATCGACTGCTGGAACACAGGTACTGAGGTGTAATTATTTTTGGTTAATATGTAATGATTACTGACATTATTTCGTTGTTGAGATGAATTTACAACGCCGTAGTCGAACTGACTTCCATCGACTATATGAAGCTAACTGACTAAAGTGGTTTTCTGTTTATTTTAAAAATCCCCATTGAGTCATATAAAAGAAATGGCGTTCAGCGAAGAGTTACTCTTTTCGCCGATTTCATTCTCAAGCTGTACAATCGCATATACATATAGCAAATTATCTTAGCAACAAGAGGAATATTTCCAAAGATGTGTCGTTAGAACTGTAAATTTTAGATAACGAATTACGTAATGTAGAAAGCGTTAATCGATTTAAAAACTAAGATAAAATTAAATAAGTAAGTTGAGTGACATAACCTAATTGACGGAGTTGAGTAGAATTCAATCACAATCGGATGACAGTCAAATTAATAACAGTGGTAATAAGGGGTAGAGATTTAATAGGGGGTGGGGGGAAGGAAATGAAATAATTAGGAAACAAAAAACAAAGATTGTGTGTTTGGTGTTAAGGTACATCAGGTTCACTGTAGATTTAGTGACTGGACAAACTTCTTTTGTATGCAGAGTTCAGGTTTTAACGTGTGAATTGGCATTGCTTCTGCGGTTTAAAGAAGTTTGATTAGTACCATTTTAGCGAGATTCCCACGTATTCTGTAGATGACTTTGAAGTTGCTTTGTGGGTTAGTTCGGTGTCCATATTCGATTAGGTATTCCAGGATACAGCTTCTGAGGATCTTTATATCCTTTATAAAGCCATAACAGTAAGTGTCCGATGATACGTTTTAATAGCAAATTCAGGGTACGGCTGACCCTTATTACCACTGTTATTAATTTGACTGTCGTCCGATTGCAGTTGAATTTTACTCAATTCCATCAATTATATTACGTCACTCAACTTACTTTATCTTAGTTTCTACCTGATTAACACTTTCTACATTACGTAATTCGTCATCTAAAATTTACAATTCTAATCACACATCCTTGAAAATATTCCTTTTGTTGCTAAGGAAATTTGCTATATATATATATATATACATGATATTAGATGGTTGGAGGCAATCGGCAGGAATCCTTGGACCTAGGTTTCGTGCTAGTTGGCACTCGTCAGAGCATCACACTAGTTACTAGTGTCATATCAAAATATCCACTACAGTCCTACAGGAGGTCAATCGCGAGCCCGAATAGCTCAGTGGTAACGTCTCTGACTGCAGTACTGGGTGACGCGGGTTCAAATCTCAGAAGGGATATGAGTTCCTTCAAGGTTGCAGATACTCCTTGCTGACGAGTGCCAACTAGCACGAAACCTAGGTCCAAGGCTTCCTGCCGATTGCCTCCAACCATCTAATATCATCAAATCAATGTACACCGTGATGGCGAGCTACCTAGAATGGTGGCCACCTGACTGATAGAATTCAGTCTGCACCAAAGAGAGGACTAGACGCATCACACTAGTTACTAGTGTCAAATATATATATATATATATATGCGATTGTACAGCTTGAGAATAATATTGGCGAAAAGACTTACTCTTCACTGAACGCCATTTCTTTTCTCATTTTGTAGAATTACTCAATATTGTAGAAAGAAGTAGGCACATTCACATATAGAAAAAGCTTCACATTTTATTGAGCAACATATTTTGTGAATAAAACCATCTCACATGAACTGATTGATAACTAATCTGAGGAAGGTGATGGTGGCCTAGCATAAGAGATAACTTGATTCTTGTTGTGTGGCTGATAGTTACTTTCATTATTGTACATGTGCTCATGATGCAGTTCACTTTCTTGTGTATTCTGAGATCACAGAACAGTCTTTTGATGCTGTGTGTTTTACGTTAACTCGTAATGCAACAGCAAATAGCGTCTGTTATTACTGGAAACTCGTGAGCAGAAATTTCATAGGCAGTGACTTAACCAATCCGGTCCACATATATCCAAAGCCTTACTCAGTCTGCTACCAGGTCTAGATCTTTGTGTTTTCCTGTGGATAATATTCTTTTTTTCAATCTCTTATATTCACTTTATCACTTAAAAGGCTATTAACTACCTAATATTCTCATATTCCTTAGATAACGTAACATTATTAGGCTAGGTGTCATGATCTTCCACTTGTTCCTAGAATATCATAGGGCTTCAAACTTTGAAGTTTAAGTAGCCGCTCTTTTATTTTCACAAGGTCAGGTTTCTAACCTTAGGCTGTCATCTCCCCTCTTTTCTGGGTGACGACCGGCTAGCAAACTAAGCAAGGGTTAGGAGTGAGTCAGTTGGGAATGAAAACTGGATCATGTTTGGGGTTTGGCAGTGCTCTACCATAGAACCACAGACGCTCCATTGCATCGGAAGAAATATTTTATTGCTAGCTGAGAAAGTCCCCTTACTTTGGTTGATGTTCATCACGGTAGTTTAAAAATAGTGTTTGTCTGGACAGCTTTGATGGAAAGTTACACATGATATCTTTTATTCTAATCTGGTTTGTGTAAACATATCACAGTGAGATTTTCTTTTGTCTGGTTCCTAGCTTGCCACGTTCTGAGTAGATTAAGTCATCAGCTTTTCTGCTCAAATAGTTGATCCAAGTCAGCATGTCATTTTCAATCTATTCAACTAAAATATCTCAAACTGAACGTCAGTTTTTGCGCTATATTTAAGCTAAATTTCGAAATCATGGTGGCTAGTTTTTTTAATAAACAATTTTGACACTTTTCTTTCCCCGGAGTAGTGATACTACTGCAGTAATATTGGCATAGAATACAGGTCGCATGCTCACGTCATTTGAAATATAATACTGTCTAAATGTGTGGCATAACTAATTATGGAACGAGCGTGAGATCACTATCATCATTCTGCAAAAGTTTTATATTTTCGTGAGAATAAGCCTCAGTTTTTTACAAGACGTCACGAAGATGACGTCCATGAATACAATGTTAAATAAGTGAATATTTGATGAAATTCACCTTTACTTAGAATCTTCTCTGTAGTCGCATTATATTGAGGAAATTTCAATTTCACTTGAGTCAATATAGCACTCCTCTGGATTACGTGAGATGCCAGCCTTTGCATATTAGTTGAATAAAGCAAGAACAACAGTTTTTTGTAGAATAAAATGGTACCATCATTTCTTTCGTTGGCTTCTCATCAGCCGCTCACAGCCTAAAGACATTATTAGGTATATCTACGAAAGCAATTTTAAAATACTTGCACAGAGTTCATGTTTAAACAAAAATCAATCAGTCAACATATGCATACAATGCTAATAATAATAATAATAGTGATAATAAACACTTTATTCCGAACAATAATGATCATACACAATGGAAACTTTCGACATTACGTAGTCAGATGAAAGATAGAATGAAAACATCCAGTTATCAGGGCAAAGAAAGACTGATAACCACTTCTTTCTGAAAGCTGTCAGCAGTTGATGAGAAGTCAAAGAAATAAATGATGGTACCATTTTATTCTGCAAAAAAACTGTTGTTCTTGCTTTATTCATATTCATTAAGGAGAATAAATGTATGAAAATATTAGTCGATAATTAGAATTTCTTGCTTCCGTTTTCTAATAGTCCCTTCTTATGTTAAACTACTTTGTTCCCACACTGGTGTTTAAAAAGGTAATTAACTGAAACAGTTTTTTGTTAACAAGTAAACTGGAACAGAATTACATATTACCTAACTGCCTAAGCTTTGCGCATACATTAATTTCTGTGTTCTTCACTCATATCAGTCATAATTTTATTTCTCTTGTAGCCTGCGTAGACAAAAGTACAACAGACCGAGAGTTTCTACACTGATCAGTGATCTTGGTGACATTAGTGAACAGAATAAAGAATTCTCGGAGGATTTTTACTCACCTCCTGATTCATGGGCATTCGACTGTGTATATAATGATACTGTAACAAATGAAACACTGACAACTCCACGAATCAATGCATCTGCACGTTCATTATCTAATCAACAGTCTAATCCATCATGGGAGACAGAAACTGGGGCTTCCAATGTATCTCATGTATATCCTAAGGTAAAAGAGAATCCTCACTTTCAAGAAAGTACTCCTACTCATTGGACAAATACGCCTAGATGGTGTATTCCTCAATTAGAAGTACGCATCACAGCACATCTAGCTGGTAGGAAGAGATCGCGTCAAAGTGTATCTGCTAGCTCAGCGAACAGTCCACCAGTTAGTCCTCGTCTACGCTTAGTTTGTGATCGTGAGTTTTAAAACAATTTCTTCTTTTCATTATTGATGTTTTTTTGTTCTTTTTGAGAAATTAAATATTGATTTTCTTTTATAAATGTAGTTTAAACATGACTCGACTCAATTGATTGTTTACCGATCGTCTACAATTGATTCCGATCGACATCATTTTCAGCATTTTGAATGATCGAGGGCCTAGTATTGGTTATATATATATATATATATATATATATATATATATATATAACATACACATTATATGTAATATTATACGGTAATATATAATGATATTACAAGATTTCATCATGAGCTGACGTCGGTTAGAGAACAATTTTGAAAACCACCTGGGAGTACTGGACAGCTGTTTCTTCCCAGTCTTAGACTCTTCATCAGCACTCACCCACTGGGGTTCTATCCCTCTACCTTCTGGTTACGAAGTGAGCTTGTGCACCATTAAGCCACTGTGACCCATGAATCCCAACTTCTGCCAATTCATGAATATCAATCTGGCGCTAACTAGCCACTGGCTGTATTCAGGTAGGTAAATACCTGGGTCTGTAGTAAGAAGTCGTGACCTGTGGGGTAAAGCAGGTAGTGGTCGCACTATATCGTGGATTGGCAGAAACTGGAATTCAAGGACCAGCCGTTGGTTCGGATCTCAGTGGCTTAATGGTCTGCGAGTTCGCCTTATAACCAGGAGATCATGGGTTCGAATCCCGATGGATGTGCAACGATGAAGAGCTCCAATCTAGGACGAAACAGCTGTCCATTACTTTCAATTGGTTTTCCAATAGTTTTCTAACCGATGTCAGCTTATGATGAAATCGTGTAACCAATCAAATTCCTACAAACACCAACACATGAATATAATAACGTTAATTATATTAAGAATAATGAGGACTGTTCATCAAAAGTAAGCTAAGAATCACGCATTACTTAATCCGATTTGGTGCTTGATGTAAAATCTGTATACTTGTGTTATAGCTTCGTTAATTTTGTATTGCATTTGTCAATATTCCAACTTTTTGTCATTGAGAAGCATTTCCCTAAATTCTGGCGTTTAGCGATGTTCTGCTTTCTTTTTTTTGCTGGCGTGATTCTGACTGTTTGAGACTAAGAATATACTGATGATTACTTCGAATTTCAAATACACTTTTTTTAACTTCCTGTTGCAACTGTAAATAGTTTGTTTATGAAGAGATTAATTTAAAACTAAGTGTGGTGTGGGAAAAGATACTCACCGATGGTATGGGGTGTCTTTGACGCTAAAAATAGAGGAAGAAGTTAGAATTCGTGGGTGATTGAATTTCGTCCAACTGGCTGAATGGTAAGCGAACTCAGCTCGTAACCTGAAGGTCCTGGGTTTTGTTCGTCGGGGGGGGGGGTATGAGTGAGTTCAGTGAAGAGTACCAAACTGGGACGATACATCTGTTCGTTACGCTGTAGTTTTCAATGGTTCTCTGACTAGTATCAATTCATTATCAAACTTTAAGAAGTATTTGTTTATGACACATGAAATTAGTTACTCCTTTTGGAAGGTTAAGTAGAAATCCTCAAGTAAGCGAAATAGAATGGCCTTAAAGACACTTTGGTAAAGTGAAGTTCTCTATGAAATTAGGTGATCTGAATTAGGTACATACTGATACACTGTAATTAACTTTCGAACAAACTTTATCCCTCATGATAATATCCTGTGATGCTGATACAAATATCAGGCAATATATTGTGCTTGAATTTTCATCATTGTGTCCCATATCCAGTAAACTAACTGTATAGTGAAAGAAAATGTTACCATTAATTCCTTGCGTATTGAAAGTTGAAACGTTAATCTTTAACTCATTGACCTAAATAATTGATTACCTGCTTACTAGTCACTGTTTTGTATACAATTCACTTTACACTTTGAGCAAACTGTCACGCTATTCAAAGACACATAACCATGCTGAAACCATAATTTGTTTATGACTATCCTTTATGAATTATCTTCAACACACGTATTATCTACAAGATAGGCAGAGCCAACCGTATATATATATATATCATTGTTATAATCAAATAAGGGAGTTGCCTTATTTTTTATGCATGTAATTTGAGTCTAATGAGTTGTTTTGAATGGATTATATCGATTTTTAAGCATATCTTCATAGGTACTTGATATTTGATACTAAATCCTGTCTGTTTCCATGTTTTTTCTTTAAGCTACAACTACACTAGTTAATGAGCTCATGCTAGAAGCGCTTGCAAATGATCTCCTTCCTCATAATGAAATCTCTCTAGATGCTAGTCAGTTTCAACTACGTCTTCAAGGAAGAGCTGAACTGTTACATCCGTAAGTGATTAAGATTTACTTTAAGTTTTCATAATGTATAAAGGCTATCTGATAAAAAACCATCATGAACTTGAAAGTGATTTAACTTATTAATGTGTGATGGGTAGCATCGAATCTATATATTTGGAGAATAATTTCCATTGATGGTTTTTTGCACAACGTGAGTCAATGTCCACTTTAATGCTGCATCGTATAGTACAGTAACTGCCTTAACACAACTTTTCTGACCTCAGCACCTATTTCGTGTATTTGGACGAAACTGGAGAATTGCAGAACAAAAGAATAATTCATCAGATTGTAATTTCACTGTTTTGGGCTGATTGAAAAGTTAATAATTTACTGCACTGCATTACCATCTCTTAGATTGCTGTGGGCTAGATCGTCTATGTATGTTAGGTATGATTGTACTGAAATTCCTTCGATCGGAACTAGTTGGTAACTAGTGTAGTGTGTCTTTTTCTTTGTTTGATACAGACTGTAGTCTATCAGTCAAGTTCGCGATGTGACCAACATTCTAGGTGGCTCGTCACCAAGGGCGTACTTTGAATTGTTAATATTAGATGGTTGGAGGTAAGTCACCTAGAATGATGGCCACATTTCAAACCTGACTGATAGAATTCAGTCTGCACTAGACAAAGGACTAGACACGTCACACTAGTTACCAACTAGTGTCCAATCAAAGTATCCACTACAGTCCTACAAGAGACCAGTCGTGAGCCCGAATAGCTCAGTGGTAACGTTTCTGACTGCAGCACTAGGTGACGTGGGTTCGGATCTCACATGAGACATGAGTCCCTTCAATATTGCAGGTATGCCTTCCTTACTGGTGAGTGTCAAGTCCAAGGCTTCTTGTCGATTGTCTCCAACCATTTAATATGAACAACTGAAATTCCTTCCTGTGAATCAATAGTTCATTGACAGAATGTTAGCCACCCACGCAAGGAGGTCCAGGTTCGATTCCTGGCCAATGATCTGCTAAACCTCGCTTAGTGAACTAGTAGGTAGTAAGCCTGGAAAAGAGGGGTGGTTGGTAGTGAAACTAGCAATTCCCCCACATAAAAGCAGCACCACTGTTAACCGATATTTCAAACTCTCGAAGCCTTATGTTCCACTTGAAACGCAAGGAACGGTAAAACGTCAAAATTCCAGTTCACTATACATATTTCAATAGGCCGGATAGTTGCTGAATACTTTCAGCTATTTGGATGTTTTTGCATTAATATTATTAATGTCGCTGTTTTGATTCCTAGTTAAAAATAATTACTGTCATGTCTGCCAGGTGCGGCAGTTGAAAACATGATTTTGGATGTTATATCAATAGTAAAATGAACTGAGATAAGTAAAAGAGTGGTAATTCTAGTATCATAGAGTCCCATTACTTCTAACAGGGAACCTTAAGCACTAGGATGGCATATCATCTCATATTAGACTAGCTTATTCTATATGAATACAAGCAATAAATTGTACTTCTCATCCATTTATCTATACTGCATCAATATTGAGGTTAGGCGTCGAGTGCTAGGTAAGGCGGGGAAATCAATCGACGAGACTGTGAAATTGCATCGACTGAGATGGTTAGGACATGTGCTACGTATGCCTAGTCATCGCCTTCCTCGACGGGCAATGTTAGCTGATATAGGGTCAGGCTGGAAAAGAGCTAGCGGCGGTCAAACCAATACATGGCACCAATCAATGAAATCCACAACAGTTAATCTAAGCCACGTAGGAAGATGTAGACTTCCTGGATGGGGCCCTCGGGATGGTAAAAACCAATGGTTGGAAACAATTGGCGACATGGCTCAAAATCGTTCTCAGTGGCGCAGATGCATCCACTCCTTGTGACTTATCATTTCCAGTTAAACTGTTTTGTTCTCCGTTATTACTATTCCTTTGTCTCACACCTCTGTTTACTGTCTATATTTTGCATTTCTTCTACTTCCTTCTCTTGCTTTGCGTGCTACATGGATTGTGGCGACTTGAACTGCCGCACATATGTGCAAAGTTCTATGTCGAAAACAGACAGACAGATACTGCATCATCTACTTTATACTATGACAGGGAAATTCAACATATGTGGTATTAAATTGAGTACTCCAAACTTTATGTAAACAATCATAAAGCATCTGGATGTGTATGTCATTCATTATGTCTAGTTGATATCAAACTTTAGAGATGATCGAGTAGATTACAATCCCATCTGAAGTTGTAGAATACTTTCATTGTTTTGAAGCTTAATACTTTGGATAAAAGCACAACCGGCAACACTACTGACCAACAACTTGAAGGAACACGTCTCATGACAAGAGTAGAAGAAGCAAATTGAATTGCGTTTCTCTGTCCTGACTAAAGAGAAGAACTAAAAACTTAACACGCCATTCACATACGTCTGTATGTTGGTTAAAGAAAATCAAACGAATACCTAATTTTTATCAATAATATCCATCCCCCTAGACAAAAAATAACCTTCACATTTGGTTAGACGATTTCACTTTAACCTGATATCCCTTAGGGGACCATTCGAAAACCAACTGGGAATATTAGACACCTGTTTCGTCCTAGTTTGGGACTCTTCGCAATAAGCACCCACGGGGTTCTAACCCAGGACCTCCTGGTTACGAGGCGAGCTCGTAGACCATTTCAGCTCATGATGAAATCCTCCAACCAATCAAACAGAATATTTGAAAATCAATCTGATGCTCACTAGCGACTGGCCGTGTTCAGGCAGTTAACCTGAGGTTCTACTGGGAAGCCGAGACCAGTAGGGTACAGCAGGTTGAAGGTGAGCCAGTAACTAATGGATGAACACATTGCGAAATGGTCTCGCTATGTCTTGGATTGACAGAAGTTAGAATTCTTGGACTGGTCATTGGGTCGGGTCCCAGTGGCTTAATGGTCTAAGAGCCTTGTAACCCGAAGGTCCTGTGCGTATTGATGAAGATTCCCGAGCACTGGGACTAAACAGTTATCCAGTACTCCCAGGTTTTCCAATGGTTCTCTAACTGATGTCAGCTTATAATGAAATCCTCCAACCAATCAAACAAAATCCCTTCAAAAAACCAATAATTGAAACAAACTTGCACATTTTTAGAAACTTTAAGGAGTTTTCTGAATGTTGTACACCTAAATGTATAAAGCTCAGGGATCAAATGTTTATATTTTGTACACTAAGGAGGCATTGGTAGGTTGTCAAAAGACACTGAGGAACAGCAAGTTTGTTTGTTTTATTAGCCAGATACAATAAGCAGATATTTGTGATTTAAGCAATACAGCTAATTACCTTCATAATGTAGATAACTTTGATACTACGCCAACACACTGCACAATGCAATGATCCAATGGGAACGTGTATCATTCTAATTTTCGTTTTATAATGAAGGTTATCATAGGGTTAATGTTTCACACAACAAAATTTAAAATCAACCTTCAAAAGTGTGTGTTTCATATTAGAATGCCTATATTTCTACACAAATTACTTAACTTTACTTCTTGGTTTTAGAGAAGCTCGTCTGTGTGACTGTTATCAAGTTCAATTGTGCCATCGATTGGATCAACCGTTGAAGTTAATCTTAGAGCCTAAAGATGTTGACCAACCATCTGTTAAAAAGGTATTCTATTTTTACATATATCTAATGCTCTTATTTTAACTTACCAATTACTTATGTATTTGTAGTGTAGAGCATAAAAAATCGCTTAATAAGCATAAATTCTTCATTTTCATTAAGGTACAAAGAAAGAACTCTTAACAATTGATTAGATTTACATAATACTGCTGAGTAAAGTGTAGTGTTTCTATAAGTATCTCATATTTCTCTCTCTCTCTCTCCTTATCTTTCTATTTCTGTACACTATAATTTTTTTTCACTAGATAATCGATTTTCCATTTGTTCACCTGATCACATGATGAAGTTAAACTGTCGATGTATTCAGTGCATATACACACTTGATTACTTGTGACTATTTACATCAGTGGCATACACCGCATCTTGATCATCTGTTTGCACAGTAATCCGATAACAGGAGTAATTTTCAGGGATCTGTGGTAATAAAGGTTGGGGAGTCAACTTATATGAAGTTAGCCACCTCTGTATGATGGATCGATATGAAAACTTTGATATTTGAATTGTTTTGTATTAGCAGAATAGTTATTAAAGTATGATCCAGTGTTTTTTATTACTTAATCCAAGTTGTTTCTGTGCCGTTAGAAATTAGGATTTGCTTTATAAGAAGTCAATGATTTCTTATTGGTGTAAGAGTAGGATATGGTCACTGTGGTAGAATATATCTCCATTTTAGATAAGTTTATGTGATATAACACACAGTGAGTGATACAGTATTTTTAATAATAACAATAATAATAATAATCTACTTTATTCCACAAACAGTACTTATAATACAGAATGGAATTCTCAGCATTTGTCACAACACCTAGCATCTGATTTACTCAAAATATAACCAAAATAAAAATTAAAACAAAATTAACCGGAGGAATTTGTCCACATTTACGACATAAGATCAAAAATATTCGAAGCACGAATTTAGATTATTAAATATAATAATAATAATAATAATAACAGTGAGTTTGTTTCAAACGGTATTGTCGACTCAGTTTGGAAACTTTAGCATGTTACAGATTATTGGACCTAATGTTCTGCTGATACAGTTTGGTGAGGGGAAATACAAAATTAACAGTTATAACACAGCTCAAATGATGTTCACACTTATGAAAAAATAAACAAATAAAAACAAAAGCTGAGAGGATTATAAATATAAGAAATGCAATAACAATAAAGTTTGATGCTTTAAGGGTGGAGGAAATGGTTTATTTAGTAATGCAAAGAAGGTTAGTTAGTTCATGCCTAACACTATTTTCATCACATAAAGTACGTGCTAAATATGGTATATTGGAATTTTTATACTTAGACATACGTGCATAAATTCTTCTGAAAAGACTTCTTGTTTTACCTGAGGAGACACAAGGTTGGAGCTGTGGGTAGAGTGGGTGATCACAGTCTGACAAAATTCCGTTAGCGAATTTGTCACATGACATCAAGTGCCTATGAGTGACAATGTCAACGATATGGCCCAATGGGATACCACTCGTCCTACTGACAGTCTTCAGAGTTCTACAAAGTATGACAGACTTTTTTAAGCAATCCAGGAAAAAATAAGGTTGAACAGTAAAGAAGAATAGGTAAAATACACGAGTTGACAGACTGTAACAGGAGGTGTCTGGTTATGCATGAGTGCCTTAACTTCTCAATATAAAAAGTCTGACGAAATATTCTTTTAGAAATCGTTAAGACATGGGAGGACCAGGATGGGTCATAAGAGAGAATTAATCCAAGTATAATTAACTGGGTGACGCTTCCAGCTCATAATCATATCATATACTATAATAAGAGGCAAAGTTATGCTTATAGTTATACTCATAACTCATTCGAAAACTTGCAGTTCCATGCGGTTTGTGATGAGTGAGATCTGTTGTACGAAGGCTATTGATACTGCCAGGTTGTGAAACACGTCAATATGGAGCATGAGGTCCGAAGCCATGACCCAGTGGTTGGAAGTTGAGCACTCAGACCAATAAGCAACGATAACTGCACGACTGATAATGGGATAAAGAAGCTGCTTACAATCCAACCTGGCCTTTGAAAATTTTACCAATAGCTAAAGCTTTGAACCAGTTCCTTATTTGAATGAAAACCGTGTACATATTTTGACATTTCAAAAGATACTAATATATGTCAGTTAACCAGATAGAAAAAGACATAGTGTTTTAATAAGTCTGTTTTTTTATGGTATAGACACAAAAAGGCGTTATTTTGACTCCAAATGTAGCATGAAGTAAATACAATCATTGGTTATCTACTTTATCGACAGATATGCTACGGACAAGCATGAACAGGTTACTAAAAGCCGCTCTACACTAACAAAATGCTTTATTGTAAAAGTAAATTTAAGCACCATTTGTGAGTTAAACTAGTCAACTGTACACCAATACAGAGATTACTAGTTTTGACCGGAAAATCAGTTGACTGCATTTCTATGTATATAATATATTTGATTATACATTGATATGAACATTTAAAAAATCAATAATAATTTTATTTGATCGATACATTTTTTCTGTTTGTTTTTAAAAAAAAATTAGGTTTACAGTGATACGGATCAGTTTACACCTCAAAATAACTTTACAAACAACCGTCCTACGCCTACAGAGTAAGTTGCCACCTTTTTCTTGTACAGTGATCGAAAGCGTTAGAAAAGAATGTAGTGAAATCTTTCTTCTCCTCATATCCAAACTATTGACTGTTTGAGACCTGTTAGCAGTACATACTTATCTAATGTTAAATAGTTATATGAACTTGGCTTGATGGTTAGTTAACAGTTGATAGGTAATTAATTATAACCTCAAACACAGTTATTACTATTATTATTCCCTTGAGTTCCTAGTGGAACATAGGGCTTCAACTACACGTCTCCACTTGTTTCTGTCTTCTGCTTTACTTTTCACCTGCATCCATGTTAGTCCATACTGTTTCAACTCCTATTCACACGATCTCCTCCATGTCACCCTTGGACGTCCCACTCGCCGCTTCCCTTTCAGGTTCCACTCGAGCACTGGCCTGACGCGCGATGTCATCCAGCGGCCTCCTCAGCGAGTGTCCAATCCATCTCCACTTTCTCCTGCATATTTGTTGAGCGATTGGTTCTTGTTTTGTTTGTTCCCATAGTTTCTTGTTGGTGATTCTTTCCGGCCATCTGATCTTGAGTAAAGAACGAAGACAGTTGTTGATAAAGGTCTGCAACAGGCTGTTGGAAATATTCTTTGTGACACACTGGCCAAGTTTCTGATCCGTATAGAAGAACTGACTGACTTGACGTTTGTATTGAAAATCCGAATTTTGTAGTTGATGCTGAGTGACGAAGATTTCCAGATTGGTTTCAGGTTGATGAATGTGTTTCTCGCCTTCCCGATTCTCGATTTGACATCCTCGTCCGTTCCTCCAGTAGTTGAGACAATGCTCCCTAGATAAGTGAATGAAGTAACCTCTTTCAAATCCCTCCCGTTGATGGTGATTGGCGCTGGATGTTGTTGTTGCTGTTGTTGTTGTTGTTGGTTGGTTATTTTCATAACCTCCATCTTGTCTATGTTCACTTGGAGTTCCGTCTTTGCTGCTTCAAACACAGTTAGTTTCTTGCAATTAGCAGTGTTCTGTGAGCTGGTTGGTTTAGTTGCGGAGCTTTCTTCGTCCTTCTGGACACACAAGCCAGTCAAATCACTGCATTCGATATCGTGCATACCGAAAGATCCAACAGAAGAAGGAGTTAAAATTAATACCATTTACAAAATAAATTGTATGAACTGTAGCAGACATTACATCTGCCAAAGTGGGCATCCCCTTCATTATCCGAATCGAAGAACACAGATAAGCTGTAAAAAGATAAGATATATATTCCCTAATATCAATGCATTTAGATAGTTCTGGACACCAATTTGATTGGCATAATGTTGACATTTTAAAAAGAGGAAACACCAAAAGTGCCTGAGAATTCCTAGAAGCCTGGTACTCAAACGAATATGCGATTAACAAACATGTTAATATAAACCAAATATACCAACTAATAAAAAATAAATCATGTGACGAGAAAGTTTAAAATCCAAGTCAATAAAACATGATCAATATATTTGTAAATATGGTTACCGAGAGACGTAGTTCTATCACTCATGGAAAATTTAAATCAGTTCACTTTATGCTAAAGATTGCGCTGAAGATGTTGTCCAGCAGGGGGACGATGAAAGCTTCGCAACTAAACCAACCAGCTCAGAGAACACTTCTGATCACAAATCATCCACCTGAGCTACATATCTTCTCTATTATTTCAACAGATAGTTTCATTAAGCTTTTGAAACTAATGGATCCAATTCTCAGTTCGAGATCTGCAGTTTACACAATTCCAAGATAAATGTTTGTCACAGTTTCCTTTGGAAACCGAAACTACTCAAATCACAGTATGTGATCTGTTTGATGTCATAAATGACTGTTAGGAAAGCAAGCATAAATGTATAGTGCTGTATACCACTGACTAATCGATTTGACTAGTTGAATGCCACTCACATCAAACAGTAGGGCTTGATAGCCAGATCTAGGAGATCTAAACAAACACCGGGCAGCTGTTTCGCTCATTTGTGCCACCTGGTAGGCTTATTTATTTCAATACTGGGTAATTTTAGTGGTCATCTTGTTTTTGTAATTTGTTGGTAAGATGTAATTTTTCCTGTATGAGAACAGCTTAAACTCCGGAACGGATTCACTAAGCTGATATTTGAAAGAAATAGAATTGTAGGCAGAAGTGTTTTCCCAATTTCGATACTATCTGTCATTCAGAAACGCAGTGTAATCTGGTATCGTGTCACCTTGAAAAAATTCATCAATACTGTGATTTGAGTAGATTTATTGGGAACCAGCTAATGGAAAAATTAAATTTCATCCTCAAACTTTCTAACCTACCTACGTTACTTACTTCTTTTCCACTTTCTTACAAAAGATAGTATACATCTTGTTCTATACTAGTGTTGCATCTGTATAAATATACCAATAGAAACAATGCATGACATAGATAAGCTAAAGCTACATTGATTTATAATGAATAATTTGATTTCTACTTCTTCAATAGCTTCCTGTTTATTAGAATTACTTTATTGACAAGAAACTGATGAAATATATATATAATACTACCCATTGTGAGATTAATACTCTCGTGTTCGTGATCCGCTCCATAATTATGAAGTTACATTTTTACCCAACTTCATGTTTTCTCTTATCAGTTCAACTAACTTTTGGTGGGAGTAACTATGACTCTATTAAGGTAACCAGGTGCGTCGTCATCTAATCGATGTTAGGCTCATCAGGAGGGGCCCTACATGCGGTGCGAGGGCCGAAATCCTTAGACCATCGTGTGTTTTCCAATATTAGCTTCTCTTGTTTACTCTACATTTGGCCACGAAGTTCTGTCCAGTGCTCTGAGTGTCAACGTGAAGAAACTCAACCGAGCACGGAAAATGGCGGGACGAGGGTTATGGTTATATGTGGCAGGCGCCTCCCTGGGGCGACCGGTGGGTGGGTTGAGATCCAGCTAAGACCTGTCGCTTGCATAAGACAACACTCCCGTCTAGTTACTCAGTCTTGATGAAGCAGTGGCTCCGTCCTTTGGCCTTTATAGTAGTGTGCAAGGCATCGGCGGGGCCAGTAGATCTGCGGGATTCTTGACGAGAGGGCTGGGGCCAATAACAACTGGTTAGTGGGTGGCTGTTAGAGCAGGTAACCCAAATCGCGAGGCGCAGCTTGGTGTGACTGTTAGCCGAGGCCTGTCTCGAGCAGTGTCTTGTGCAGTGGGTAGAGGCGCGGAGGTCGGGATCTTGTGCCATGAGTCAAGGTTTGGTTGACTCCAATGCACAGAGGTCCCTGAGAAGATGTTCCTGTTCATACCAGCTGGAGGAGTGGCACCGAGGGTGTCCTGAGATGTAAATATGAGAAATTGATGATGACCCATCTCGGGGAGTTCGTTCTGGGACTGTATCAGTCGCTGGGGCGGCTCGCGGTTAGCATGGTACGAAAAGGGTAAATACTCAGTAGAAGTTTGGAATTTGTTACACCGTACAATCTTTGACACAGGAGCCTTACTCTGACGATCCATTGAAGAGCGTATGCACACTGGGCAGAACTTCGGTCTATCCTACTTTACGGTAGTATGAAATGGCTATTTAGGGGTTTTAGGAGTCTGAGAATCAATGGTTGGCCAAGTTGTCATTATTACACAATATCCACTCTTGTGCTCCAACAGTATTCATACAGTTGATGGATGTAAATAAACCAAAAATTAGGTTGCTGTTAATTCACGGAAAATACCCATCCAGACATGTATATAAGAACAACAAAGTTCAGCGAAGAGTCTCTTTTCGGCGAATTCATTCACTTAGCTGTACAATCACATTTATATATAATTATTTTGTGTATTGTGTGTGTGTGTGTACATTTGGATTGTCAAACAAGTGTTGCGTAATATGAAATAGGATGTTAATGGAGACACGTGTCCAAAAATAAATTATGTATTAGGTAGAAAGAGCAAATAAGAGTCAAAGAACATTATCTTGCTTGGCTATGCACAGGTAACAGTGAATCGCTAAGGAGTGCTATAACTGAACAAATATTCAACACTGGTCACTCAATATGCACGGAGAATTCATTCAAAGTCATTACAAAGTCAAAAGAAGCCTTCCGAAAACTATAAGCTTCCGTATACTTTGTATTGTCGAGGCCTTAGCGATCCGGATAGAAAACCTACACAGAAGAAACTTCTCCACCCCCTCCTTTCTACCTTGGGTATAATTCCAAGTTCTACGACTTTTTTAAGAATGTTTTGTTTGTTCCCTTTTTTGTTTTTGAATTTTTATATGGAATCTTGTTAACATCTTAACCAAACCTTTGTTTACTCTTTCTACCTATTACGCAATCTATTTTCGGACGCGTGTCTCCATTAACATCCTATTTCATATTACGCAACACTTGTTCTACAATCCTACTGCACATACACACACACACACACGAAACAATTGCTTATAAATGTGACTGTACAGCTAAGTGAATGAATTCGCTGAAAAGAGACTCTTCGCTGAACTTTGTTGTTCTTATAAATCCTGTTAATCACAATAATTTATGATCTGGTCAGAAAATGAAAACTCACAGTCACTTAGAAAGAAATATGTGTGAAGTGAAATTATGTTTTCAGCAGCTTTCATGCCGTTAACTGTTCGCTAGCTCTAGGATTAGCTGGATAACATCGAGTGGTAGTTGACGTTCAATATAAATGATATTTGTTTTAGATAAGCATTTTTTGGTGCACCATGACTCCTTTGATGAAATCCCTTTAGATCACATGACTCACATTCGGTTCAGAATGAGAATCAGTTATGAATATGTTACATACAATATTCTCCTTTATTTCATTTCTTTGCCTACTATGAAGTAATGAACGCCTTTTTGACAGTCCGTCATAACCGCATACCTTCCCGTTTTTATTCTGTTGTTGCACAACTGTTCTATTTCTTCAAGTGTTGGTTTGTAGGGATTTGATTGGTTACAGGATTTTCATCATGAGCTGAAATTAGTTAGAGAACCACTGGGAAACCGGCAGGGACTACTTCACAACTGTTTCGTCCTAGTTTGAGACTCTTCAGCAGTACGCGCCCACCGGGATTCGAACCCAGGACCTTCTGGTTACAAGGCTAGCGAACTCGTATACCATTAAGCCACTGGGACCCGATCCAGTGGCCCATGAATTCTAATTTCTGCCAATTCACGATATAGCGCAACCGCTAGCCAATGTCTTCGGCGAGTATTTGTCCTCACACCCGACCTGCTGCACCCTACTGGTCACGACTTCTCTCTAGAACCCCAGATAACTACTTACCTGAATAGGGCAAGTCGCTAGTGAGCATCTCATTGATATTCTATTTCTCTTTTCCTCATATTCTTGTTTTAATATTTTGTGGCGAATCTCTTGGTAACCCCGATTCAATCACGCTTGTGTTTTAAATAAGTAAACATATTGAAAAAGATATTTGTGATAGTTAGATCAATAGTTAGTTGTAGTGACATACGTTTATTTTAATGATTGTCAACATTAAACAATAAAGTCGCATAGCAATAATCAATGGATTGAAGATAGGCTTATAAATACAATCACAAGATAATTAATTATACATCGCATAAGATATAGTCTATTCGGGGATGATTCTGCACGTTTGTTATACGCCTTTTTGTTTTCTAATCCCCTGCTAACACTTTATTACTTTGAAAATATAATTGTTTAAAGCAAAATATAAAAAGTCTATTTTGGTTCATCTGTTAGTCTGTCTCATCCATGCAAAAAATCGGCATACTTTTGCACTAGAAGATACGCCGCTTCCTGTACCAGTTTTTCATCTTGAATTTGCATAATTCACATACATTCTCACTATTCATAATATTAATTGTCTGATTAATGTTTTTTTTAAAATTTGCAATAAACTATTACTAAAAACAGTAGCTGCAAATAGTACAATTCATCATCTATCGATTTTGTTACGGAAATAATCTTTCAAAGTCATTTTTTCTCACTGATACGATCTAAATTTATTATCACCTTATGAGTGATGTCGTTTGCGCTGCTTATGCCAAGAATGAACACTGAAAAGGATGCTTGGTATATGGTTTTTAATTTCAGATGTAAGATCATAGCATGTATTGAAACCAACTGTGTTTCAAAGTGAGTCGTGTATCCTGCATAACCCGTATCGATTACAGTGAAATGGTAAGCTGTTTTACAGCTCAGCTTCTGAAGTGCTTGGCTGTCAGTTAGGAGGCCTCTGGTTCAAATTTGCCATGACCAGGATTTTCATTTTATTTACAGTCAACTAGCATCCATTATATCAGTAATAGTGTGCTTGTCCAAGACTAGAGTAGGTAATGTCATTTGTGTCTGAGACATCTGACACTGTAACAAAAGTCTACTCCAATGTCACATAGCCTAATTTAGAACAACACATTTAAGTGAACAATATTGTTTTCAATTAGATCTCCTCAGGCTTAACTCTAATATATATAAGTTTACAAATAAAAAGTCAAATATAAACCAATCATGGTTTTTTGTCTATAGGATAATACGTTAGTGAATATAAATTGTTTAATTAGTCATAATAGTAGTAATGATAATAATAATGGTTTTATCAGTAATGAGGATGAAAAAGTGAGGCAATCTATGATAACACGAATAATGAAAAACAGTATGATTAAACAAACAAATATTCAGGTGGAAGTAGTCGATAAAGGCTAGTAAAAACAAATGAACCGATTAAGTAATGCTAGATTGCAAGGGAGGTAAATGAAACACGTTTTCAATGAAGATCTTATAAAATTAAGGGATGATATGAAAGGGGTCGAAAATATAAGTAAGGGGCGGTGTAGAAGTCGGCAATTGGTTATGTCTTAATTGGCCAAGGGAGGGATAATCAGTGTAAAAACTTCTTTTGAATGCATAGTTTAGGTTTAATAGTTCGAACCCCCATAGTCGAATACAAAGTCTATTGGGAAGATTCAGTGGGATACGATGAATTACTTTGAAAGCTCTCGTTTTCTCCACTACATGACCACTATGAGCTAAATGTGACCGAAATTGAGCTACGGATTGTTTTTGTTTGTCCTTTGCCAAACCACAATGGGAGGTGTTCACTAACACGTTGGCTGAGCTCTCTAGTAGTACGCCCAACATAGCTGTCACCGCAGGTGCAGCTGAATTGACAAATGGACATAGATGTGGCAAGACTATCTAGCTTATCCTTCGTTTGCGTCCCAATCATTCGTCGGCTAGAGAATGACAAACATAGGTGTGCTGCGTAAAATCTTCTTCGTATACCCCTGGAAAGTCTCTGGATTAAAATCTCACTTGATAAGTCACCTCTAAATTGTAACTTAATAAATAGCCTAATGGCTGATCATAATGAAGGCTCGAATTTCGAAGGGAGCATTCATCTTCTCACGATCATAGTGTTGATAAGTGCGCTGAAGTATGAAGCCTAGGTTTAAAAGTTCCTGTTATTTGACTTTATTCATCAAAGTTAAAACAGTGAATGACACTTTAACATTTTTGTAATTAATCTGCAATTCTACTCACCATCAACATTATTCTGTGTGATTGTGTTCAATGTGGAATGTTAGTGGTTATTATTTCATAAATTTTAAGTACTTACTACCTGTACCTATCTTCATAATATCAACTACGGTCACTGAAACTGTAACAGATCAGTGGTTGAAGGCTTTTAGTGGAATGACTTAAAGTCATTTACTGTGGTAGAAATATAACCGCTCTTTATCTTTTTTTTTGATATTCTTATTGCTTTTTTATTTCTGACTGTCTGGTTTCAACATGGAACTTTCCACCGATGTGCAGCAGTTCGAATCGCCACACTTCACTCAGCACACAAAGCAAGAGAAGTAAAAAGAAATGCAAACTAGAGGCAGTAAACAGAGATATGAGGCAAAAAGAATAGTAATGTCGAAGAACAATATTGTTTTATTGGGTATTATAAGTCACAAGAAGTGGATGCATCTGCGTCAGCCATTGAGAACGATTTTTAGCCATAGCACCAATTGTCTCCAGCCTTTGGTGTTTACCGTCTCGAGGACCCAAACCAGGAAGTCTACACCTTCCTATGTGGCTGTCTTGAACTAACTGTTATGGATTTCATTGACTGACGAAGCCATGTTTCGGTTTGACCACCTCGTGGCTGTTTTCCAACCTGACCCTATATGCGTTTTGTTTCAGAGTGCAGCAAGTTGACATGATGCACTTCTATGGATGATTCTGTATTTTCCCATCTGAAATTTAACAGTCATTGTATTGTTTTTAATTAACATTCGATTTTAAGACTGATTGTTACAACTATTATTATCATTCTTTTAGGCTCCGAGTGGAACATAGGGCTTCGACAGAACATTTCCGTTTCATCCCGTTCTCTGCAGTCCTCTTTAGCTCGATTCACGATTACACATAAGCTCTCATTTCCTCCTCGCATGATCTCTTCCATGTCACCATTGGACCCACACTCAATTCGTCGTCCTCCACTAAGATAGCACTCGAGAGTCTGATGTGTGACATCCCTCAATGGTCTTTCCTGCGTGTATCCCTCCATTTTTTCTGCATATTCGTTATGCAATGAGGTTTGATTAAATTAGAGCTAATAGTTAATCTGAAAGTTAACATTTACTGTCATATATACTACTTAGAACTTTGCATACTAGTTAACTGATACTCAAGAGTGATGATTTGAAGCTAAAAAGAAAGACAAATCTCAAAAGACCTTTTGTCAGCAATGTCCTGATCACTGACTTACTGAAATACTTATCGAATTACAATACTCAACTATGTTTAGTTCAAGTTATGCTTCAGGTCTACCTATCTCGATACCACCTAATATACGTTTACCTATTTAAAACTTTTGATTCATATACATTTCATGACTTAACGTCTAATTACTCTTTGTTTTTGTTTTTTTTTTTGTTTGCTTTACAGGGAGGATATATTTATAAGTTACAGTGTATTTCAAAATGCCTTACAGAAGTTACGGTTATGTATTGTGGAAAACTATGCCCAAGTATGATCCTTAATAAGTAGTTTTTTTATTTTCATTGCCCAACCACTTTTGTATTCCTTGATAACAGCGTCATGCGTTGTTTAATTTTTTCTACTATCTCATATCTTAGCCGAGATATCTCCTGGCTAGAAATCCTAAGACCTACGGTTCAAATTCTGTTGTAACTCAGGCTTTCGTTTTACCTTTTGGTATACCCATTTACATATATATTAGTTTGTCATTCTAAGGCTGTCTTACCTAGTAACCAGCATTTTAAGAGTTAGACATATGACTTAATCCTTCAGAGGAGAAACTTTTTTCTTCAGTGTTAAGAGCTCACAAAGGTGTGTAAATATGGCTCATTCCGTCTGACATGGTGAAACCAACTACGAAATTAGAAAATGCGTTATTGTGCGTTAATTTACAGCCATTATGTGAAAAGTGGTGTTTAGTCTTACAGTGATTAATTTTTCGACCTCTACGTCGATAAGTATTGGTCACACAGAAAACGTCGACTTGGCGAAGTCCTTCAGGCTAGTTTTTCAAATGGTGACATACATACCTATATATGTTTGACCATTCTTCCTACAACGAATGATTCTAAACATAAAAATTACTTAACAGTGATTAACTTTATTTTGACATTCATAGAACATTCTCATTAGTTGTATTAATATTCTCGGTATGATAGCGGAAGGTATATACCTCTGGTAGATGTATCGGATGCCGTTTTATTCTTTCAGAGGGGATGGCTTAAATGCAAAACTTCCATTCTCTTTTCATACAACACTGAAATTCTAAAATCTCATTTCTCACTGAAGTTAAAGCTGGAGATATTATCTAGGAGAAGAGCGACAACTTTATAATTGAACTATCCAGCTCAGAGAACGCAGAAACTACGCCAAATTAGCAATATTTTCGTATATAATGTTGTAATTAGTTTGGCTTAGTGATCACAGTAGCTTTAGTACAAAACCTTTTCATTTTGAATCATCCTAGCTTTAATGGTGTTGAGTAGTTTCCTTTGAGCTGAATTTCTCTAACATTAAACCTTATTCAAGGATACTTATCTTAGTGCTACATTTTCTTGTTTCACTGTAACATTTGTTTTGTTTCATAGAGGTACCACTCATAAATAACAGCGTCGCCATACACACTGGATTCAAATTGAGTTATTCTATGAGATGAGGTTTTAGTTCACAAACATTGTCATGTATTACTTAGGTAGCGTTACCAGTGCAAAGTCATAATTGAGAAAAATAACTTTGAGTTTGTTAGTAATACTTAGGACATACTGTTTAGTCTGAATCCAACCTGATTAGTTATTTTTATAGATGTGTAGGTGTATTTTTTTTAAAGAAAAAAATCTACTACATCTATGATCGATTGCCAACTTCGTATCTTAGCTCTGAGATGGCATAACAATGTTTTTTATTTGGTGGATGACCTTATATATTCAATGTACATTGTTCATAGTCACTTGATATATGGTGTGATTGTATTGCCAGAAGCGATGCATTCTGTTACAGAATAGCACCATGGTATTCTAAGTTATGTGAGATTTCTTTGTTTTCATATATAATTTATAAACAATGCTTATTTTTAGTTAGAAGATTATCCAATCAGTTGTTTAGTGATTGTGCTTCATTAGTTTATTTGTTAGCATATTTGCTGATTCCTTGCCTTCCTGAATGGAACATACAGCTTGAAGCTTTGAAGTCTCACTAGCGGTAGTGCTGATTTTACAGGGTAAGGCTGCTAATCTCACGTCCAGTTTTCCTACCTTTTTGAACTTACCATCAGCTGGTAAATTAGAAGAGGTTCGTAGTGAGCCGGTCGGTTACCGAAGCTGGATGTCCTTATATGGCTTGTTACAAATTGACAACTGTACCACTAAGGTATTAGTAGATTCATTAGTTTTTTTTCTACTACTCAGTGATAATTAAAAAAATGGTTTTGTAACCGAAAACTAACTTGAAATACTCTTTATGCATTTGTGAGTAGTATAGTGTGAATTAATGCATTCGACTTGTTCAGATCGCTTTCGAAAATAATGACAAATCGGACTGTTTACACTATCAGCCTACTAAAAATTTGGGATTTCGATACTTAAATACTGGTCGGTCGGTTTTCGACATAGAACTTTGCACATAGTGCGGCAGTTCAAGTCGTTACACTCAATGTAGCACACAAAGCAAGAGAAGAAAGTAGGAGAAATGCATAAATTAGACAGTAAACAGAGGTGTGAGACAAAGGTATAGTAATAACGAAGAACGAAACAGTTTCATTGGAAATCATAAGTCACAAGGAGTGGATGCATCTGCGCTAGCCACTGAGAAAGATTTTGAGCCATATCACCAATTGTTTCCAGCCATTGGTTTTTACCGTCCCGAGGATCCAACCAGGAAGTCTACACCTTCCTACGTGGCTTGGACTAACTGTTGTAGATTTCATTGTCTGGTAAATTCATGTTTTCTTTTGACCGCCTCTAGCTCTTTTCCAGTCTGACCCTATACCAGCTAACATTGCTCGTCGAGGAAGGCGATGACTATGCATACGTAACACATGTCCTAACCATCTCAGTCGATGTAATTTCACAGTCTCGTCGACCGATTTCCCCGCCTTACCTAGCACTCGACGCCTAACCACAATATTGCTCACCTTATTATACCACTTCACACGGGAGATAGAACGCAGACACCTATGATCGGAGACAGCTAATCTTTTCATGTCTTCCGCTCTCAATGGCCAGGTCTCACTTAAATACTGATGTTATCTGAATGCATCAAAACTTCTAGGACTATAACCTAATGATAATATCAGTTTTACCTTAGATTCTTTACATAATGAGTTAACTATTACAGGTGTCAAACTTCAATATGAATAAATATGTTAACCATGTTTGGAAACATCCTATCCCTTTTACAAACTGCTTTTTTGTCCAAGACATTTGTAAACAAGTAGGCACTGTCAAAAGTCCATTAACTGTCTGGATTAAACTTCAATCGGATGGCTAGAATAACCTGCATTGATAAACTGGGTTTTTATCAGTAACGGCAATGTCACTATCATGAGTATGCAATGGCTTTAGTCTCGTCTCGCAAGAGGCAAGGATAGGTGTGTTTGGTTCTCCTGAAAACCTATACCCAGTCAATGGGTTTACCATTATTCCAATTTTGTTTGAATAAATTTGTTACTATGTTCCTGAAGACTACTCAATATTGAAAATTACCCTTCAAATTAAAAATTAAATCCTGTCAAATAAAATTTTGTTCATTATTCCTAATGTAGATAAAAGCATTCTGTTCAACAGTTTGGCTGTACACTTTTCAATTTTGAAAAACTAGCTTAGTATAACATAATTTCTTTTATGATTGATTAAAGATTCTCGCTATTGATTTTTTTTCACTCCTCAGATCATATAATATATCTCGTGTCACTTAGCTTATTTGTTATTTACAGACTATTGCAAACAAGTGACTAAGTATACATATATATATCCATATATATATATATATCCATATATATATATATATATATATATATATATATAATGTGGCTATAGTAGTGTAAGCACAGTTGTTTGTTACTGTCCAAATGTGATACAGACAAAGCATGTTTATACTAATAATCTCTAGCCGTAAACTTTAGCTAGATAAACAAACACGCTATAAAAGTTGAATGTTATAAAGAGTGAATTCTGAATTATTTACTTTGTACTGTGTACATATAGAGTCATTACTATTATTCTATTGGTGTACAACATTTGAAAATCGTGTTGAATAAAAAGTTTAAACAGTATTGAATTGAAATATTTAAAATGAAAGATTTAAACAAATAAATTGACTAAATTAAATCGCTATTCATCAGTAGTATATTTAAACACAAATTGATTTTATGAAGAAAAATTAGCCTAAAAGACAGAATGGAGAAAACCAGTATGAAACTGAAGGTCAATTGTTTATTGTTATTTATTGAGATAACATAAAAATATGGTAGGAATTAACATCCGGTAACTATAAAATCCAACTTGTTTTGTCTGAATTACACAGATTTTGCTTTTAAATCCAAGTTCATGTGAAGTAACTGAGTCTGTATGTATTCAACAACTGATACGACTTTCAGTCCTGATTATCAAGTATTGGTTTGAAGTGATTTGATTGGTTGGTTGCAGGATTTCATCATGAGCTGACGAAAATCAATGAGATGCTCACTAGCGACTGGCCCTATTCAGGTAGGTAGTTATGTGGGGTTCTAGTGAGACGTCGTGACCAGTAGGGTGCAGCAGGTCGGGTGTGAAGACAAATACTCGCCGAAGACATTGTTTAGCGGTCGCGCTATGTCGTGAGTTGGCAGAAGTTGGAATTCATGGGCCAATGGGTCAGGTCCCATTGGCTTAATTATCTACGAAGTCGCCTTGTTACTATGAGTTCGTGGGTGTGTACTGGCAAAGAGTCCTAGACTAGGACAAAACAGCTGTCCAGTGGACCCTGCCGGTTTCCCAGTGTTTCTCTAACCGATGTCAGCTCATGACAAAACCCTGTAACCAGTCCTGATTATATTTGTTTTGAATTAGGAAGCCTGCATTATATCAGTAAACTTGTATTTATCAGTAGACATATCAGCTAGAACAACTATTTAAAACCAGTGAGCATTGGTTAGCCGTTTTGTTTTAATTTAGAACTTCTTGACAATGCAAACTCATGAGTTTACAGCCATTTGAGCTGTGAATCGTCAAGTGTAAAGTGAACATATCGTTCGGTTAAGTAGTTGAAATTTACTGCGCCATAATCTGCAACTCTTGGCGATTTTCAGTGTTACTCATCTGCTGTTCAATGTCATTGGTAGATAACTGTCTTCATATCAGATTTGGTAGATACAATAAAAATTACTGGCAGCATTTTTATTTCAAATTATCCGTGGTATGGAGAGTCAGTTATTATTCATATATATATATATATATATATATATGTCCATATGTCAGGTCTCTGATTTCTTTCTGTTATACATCTACTTACAGTGATGAGGAAAACAGAGTTTCAGTTTTATAAATTGAAATTTTGTGTCTCTGAATGTTAAAACCATTTTGTATTTGAAAGGCTAAGGTATTTATTTAGACGAGTTCCTAGGATTTTAAGCCTTGGAACAGAACTCTGGAATCTTTCCTAGATAACACGTAAATAATTACTTCACACTAGTGCATATTCATTAGTTATCCAAATGATATGTTTTCTTATGCATAGAATATGTCTGCGTATGATGTAATTTGAAGTGAAGTAATTTAGAAACTACTTTAGCACTATAGAGTGCCCCATAACTTCATATATCACATTCAATAGCTGTGCTATGATGGCACATTTCAAGTCGTCACAGGAAGAAGACAATACTGCCCATTATCACCGATGGCACTCCCCATTATGGTGTATTGGATCACTGGGAAGACCGTGGGGAGCGAGAAGATATGCATACATTGGACCGAATGGAAACCTCCGGAAGATATGGACTTTACGGACTACGTGTATCTAATGTCGCAAAAACCCGAAGATCTACAAGTGGAAACGAAAACGTTAGAGAAAGAAGCAGCGAAAACAGGAGTTGAAGTGGACACAGAAATGACAGAGTTGATGAAGATACCTAACAAACACCAAGTATCACTTACCATTGACGTGCGAAATCTAGAGGGATTCATCTGTCGTCTACCTGGGTAGCAAGCACCATTCCAACTAGAAGCGGCACGGATAAGGATGTCAAAATCGGGATCTGAATAGCAAGACCGACCTTCATTACTCTTAAATCAGTGTGAAAATCTACTATACTCGACATAAAAAATAAGATTCGGATTTTCAACACTAATGTCAAGATAGTTATTCGGAGACTTTGTGCACCAAACGCGTTTCGAAGAGACTCCAGACTTTTATTGGCAGCTGCCTTCGCTGCATCCTGAAGATAAGATTGCAGGTTGGAAAGGATAAACAACAAGGAACTTTGACGACCACAGAACTGAGGGTTACATGGAGGAGGAGACAAGAACGTGTGAACAGTCATGGGGCCAGATAAAGGGGAGTGAAGAGAAAACAGGACGAAATGGAGACATGTTGTTTTAGCCTTATGTTCCATTAGGAAATCAAAGGGATAATAATAATATGATGTGATTTGAAGACAAATAGAATAACCAGAATAATATGTAATTCCGTTTACTTTCTTTATTTCAGGTTGACAGTGAATCATGGTTGAAAGAGGTGCATTGTGTCAGTTCAAGTTTAAGTCAGTCAGTTAAAGCTGTATTAACAGCAGTTTGTTATGGAATAGCCTTTTCTGATGTTATCAACGCATTGGGCAATGTACAAGTATGCATTATGGATATTGTATATGATATTGGTTTAAATCATAAAGTGGTTGGATTGAAACGTCACAACAGTATCAATAATAGTAATAACAATACTGTCGGCAGCAATAATAATCTACATAATAATAATAATAATAACAATAATAATAATAATTACAATCAAGAAAATTGGCTTTCATCAATTAGGCGGAAACCGGTTAAGGTAAGGATAGAATTATCTTTATTCTTATTAGTGATGTTCTCATCAGAATTCTTTATTTTTACTGACGATCATATGTACCGTTTAAACATATTCTGGCTGTGTGTATAAGCAACAGTATCACCTATCTGCAACTTGCTTTCACTATTTTTGTTATTCGGTGTTTCCAGCATCTTCGATTATCTGCCTTCTCTTGTTCTTGGAGTTACCACAGGTGCATATGCAAAGACATGTTCGCCTATAGTTCAATGATAGAATGTTTGACAGTCACACAAGGAGGTCTGCCATCGATTCCCAGTCGATGCACTCCTAGTCACAAACTAGTTCACCAACTCGGCAGTAAGCACGGAAAGGAGGAAAGATTGAGTGTGTGGCTCATAACTCCATCCTGTAAGAATGATATCATCGCTACAGGAATTTGAATACTTGAAGCTCTATATTCCACTTGGAACACAAAGAAATGAAAAGCGAAATGTAACAAGGAAATCACCTTTGCACTACCTCACTTGGATAATAAATGATCTGACGGATCATCCTTTATTTCTTTTTATTCTTGGTGAAACTGAATTGCATGAGTTAATGAGACGCAACTGTTAACTTTTCAAATAGTTTTGAAATCGTTATGATAGAAAAGTTTGACTTGTATTGGAAAGAAATACGATATTTTGGTACTTGACTGCATTAGGTAACCTTTGTTTGTCAAACTTACACTGGTTTCAACAGATACTTATCAAACTCGCGAAAATGGCTGACTCAAGAAGATTTGAACAAATGGATTTTGTTACAGTGACCTTCTGTTGTACTGACCACTGCTCATACACCAGACACTGATTAGTTTCCAGAAGTTAGACCTCATGGGACAGTTACTAGTGATGATGGAATGTGAAATGATAATCTGTCATAATAAGATTTGCACCGGAGGCTTTCGATTTATTCACGGTGATTGAAGTGTGATGATGATTTGGCTAGATGTTGGGTCTCTTAGCTAAACTTTTAAACCTCTGGACTAGTGATTCAGGAATCGTTACTTCAAGTCCTGCCTCGACCTAGATTTTTGCTTCACCTTCAATAATAACCCACAGAAACTCATTATTTATTTCTACTGAAATTCAACCCATCATAATTATTGATGCAGGCATGGTTTATTACCTGTAGATAAGCGAAATACGTCTACAGTTTAATTTACTTACTGTACAAACTACCCCTCCAGTGTTACTGGAAAGAAGAAATGTGAGTGAATATGTTATATAATTGAAGTCCTAACTTTTAAAGACCGTACCGCTTGCAAGAATGAATTACATGGAGTTTTTAGAACTTTGCAGTTAAATAAGTATAAGAGTAGTATTCGCGTAACTCTTAGTCTTATCTTCAAAAGCAATTCAACAGTTAGTGGATCAACTAGATTATGTCCCGTGAATTCAACACCTAGAAATAACTGTTTCTTATTGCAATTCTGTTCAACTGATTGTCTTTTTTTACGTAGTCGTATTAAGAAGATTCTCATGGTATCCATCTCAGCAAAAATATTTTTCAGGAAGTGTATTTGTTGATGAATCTTGTCCTTCTTTCACATTCTTAGGCATACCTTCTATACATCTAATCAAGTGTATCTTTGTTTCGCCATAAACTTGTGAAGGTGTAGAATCCCTTATATCGACAATTTTCACAAATTTTGACGCTCATATTTCCAGTTACAGATCTCATTGTTGAGCAGGTGCTGTACTGTTTCTTTCTTATCAAGTTCCTAATTTGTGTATCCGTGCTTTCTAGAAGGACTTTTGACAACCACACACGTGGTTCATGTTCGATTCTTGGCTAGCACACTCCTAACTCTTGCCCAGCTGGTTGCGATCCAGGTGATGAGAGCAAGTCGGGCCTGAGGCCAGTGATACCATCTCTACTGGAACTTGAAAGATCAAGTTTGAAGCTCACCGTTCCACCCGGAAGGCAAACAAATGGGAAAAGGTTCCTAATTTTCAGGTTCTCTTTTTTGTTCCATGCCTGACTACTAAATTTAAAGGTGTATATTTATGTGAATAAAACAGAGAAATCGGTGGTGTCAATTTATTCGAATAAAATTCGCAAAAATTCTTTCACCTAATCACTTTATTCTGTATATAATTTATTTCAGGGCCCACCATTACCTATACGTAGTTCTCAAACCCTGAAAAATCTTAACAAAGAACATGTCAGCCTAAAACGTGATATTAAACCACAATCAAGAAAAAAATTACAAAATCTAATTTCATCTTTGAATAAAAATCTTCTTTGTCAGTTGAATGCATTTTTTACCTGGCGCCAAGTTAGTATCTGTGTAAATCCCAATTTAATAAAAAATAATTCATTGCAACACAATGATGACAGTTATAATGAATCATTGAGTTATCTAACTACAAGTGGACGACCTAAAGCTGTCCTCTTAACAGATGATGTCTTTTTCAATGATTTACAACAGCGTAAGTCAAAAGTATTTACTCATGTAATCTGCTTTGGGATCTGTTTCATCAGTGTCATATCTGAATTATTTAGAATAGCAAGAAGTTATTATGTCAAATGGGTGTTTCTGATCTAACTATCCTTTTCTGTTCTGAATCTGGGATTGTTACATGTTATTAACACTTTGGGATTGGCCATCAGTCCTGTTTTCATTGTTTTTATCAGCCATTTTCAATGAATTTCAGTAGATCAGAATAACTTAGGAATCAACTGGTTACCAGGGAACAGTCTTATGGACTTAGAATACGCAGACGACATAGTCCTGTTAGGAGAGGATGCTGACAAAATGCAGAGTCTTCTGAACATCTTGAGCAGCAATCTTCGTATGTTTGGCATGCGATTCGCCCCTGTAAAATGTAAGATGCTGCTACAGGACTGGACTACGTCAACTCCTAGCTTAGTGATAGGGAGTGAAGTGATAGAACATGTTGACCACTTCATCTATTTGGGAAGTTGTATCAGCACCAACGGACTGATTGGCGATGAAATCTCAGCACGGATCCAAAAAGCTCGGTCTACTTTCGTTGACTTACGCCATCTCTGGCGTAGTCGTAACATCCGGCTATCAACCAAGGGACGTGTGTACTGCTCAGCAGTTCGCTCCGTCCTTCTCTATCGCTCTGAAACATGGCCAATACGAGTTGAAGACATGAAAAGGTTGTCTGTCTTTGATCAAAGATGTCTACAATCTCTTTCTCACGTTAGGTGGCATAACAAGGTCAGTAATGTTGACGTTAGGCGTAGAGTGTTGGGCAAAGAGGGAAAATCAATCGAAGAGGCTATAAAGTTACATAGATTGAGATGGCTAGGTTACGTGCTGCTCATGCCTAACCATCGCCTCCCCCGATGGGCATTACTAGCTGATATAGGTGCAGGTTGGAAAAGAGTAAGTGGTGGTCAAACAAAGCCATGGCATCAATCCATGAAATCCTTGACAGTTAAACTGAGTCAGATAGGGAGATGCAGACTTCCGGGTTGGGGCCCGCCCTCGGGACTCTAAGAATCAATGGCTGAAGACAATAGGTGACATGGCTCAAAATCGTTGTCAATGTCTTACGCAGATGTATTCAGTCTCTGTAATCTTTCATATTCCTTTCTACCATTACTCATTCTGTTTCACTCTTATACTTGTCAAAACTCTGTTGATTCTCTTCACGCATTTTCTTGTCTACCTTTGTGTGCTATTTGGAACGTGGCAACTCGAACTGCTGCACTTCGGTGCCAAGTTCTATGTTGAATCCAGACAGACAGAGACAGACCAGAGTAATAATGAAGAAAAAGACTACGATTCACATTTCTGGTTTGTGCATTTGTGTGGGTTTCGTTTAATGCTATGCGATTACCTATGCTAAAGAATGGGGTAATCCAATTTAGAACCAAGGATCAATTTACTTCATAATATTTTCAACCCCTTCTTTTCTTTGTTGTTTTTCTTTTCTTCTTTCTTACCCACAACTTTGCGCCATCTCTCCACCCATTATTTGTGACCTTGACCTGTACACAATCTGACCTGTATTGCAATTATTCGTGCCTTCTTGCCTTCTATATAACTGTGTATGACAAGTACGTGTGTGATCAGAATGTCCGAAATGTTTTGCGCAAATACATTACACGTTTCAGATAAACTACGTTTTCTTATTGTGTTGTCGGAATTCATAAAGGGAACTAATTGCTTTAAACCTGGGGCTTGTTGTGTGAAACAAAGCTGTGTTAAATATTATGTCTCCGTAGCTTTCATGAATTCTACATTATGAAGTAATGAGTCTATTAATATCTAGTACTCATCGATAAGAATATGAATCAAAAGTCAAGGCAAACCAAAGTATCAACTGTTCTGAAAAGTGTCTTGTTCTTACAACTTCAGTTCCTCGGGGATAACATCAGTGAATACAGCGGTAAAAAGAGCATTCAGTGCTGCTGAAGTATACTGTGTCTTCAAAACCACTACTATTTTGCGTTCGGGAGTTCAAGATAAACTGCGTAATTTCGCCTCTTCTATGTGAATTTATCACTTTGATTGCTCCTTTGGAGCCAGTTGCATAGGGTGTACAATAGGATGTGTTTATCATCGGATTTCCGAGCACCATTCTGCACAGTGGTTAAGTAAGGGAGAAACGAAGTCCATTCATGGTTTTATACTGTCTCACCTCGTAGATATAGAACAAAAGATCGATGTAAACAAGGCCTGTAGAGTCATCTGCCTTATATTGACTGTGCTTAATTTTACCTCGAGAGTTAGGCTATTACATATTGCTGAGACTGGCTGTTGAAATCTACATTAAGAAGCCAACTCTATATATCTAAAAGAAATTGGTTCAGATGCTTCCCTTAACTTGATCACCAAGGTTCTAATGACCCTTAATTTGTTGTAGAAATTTTCCTAATTTTATCTGATATTCTATTTACTATTACATTTTTATACTTTTTATAACTTAAGCGTCTTTCTTGAAGTGTTATTCCATTTATCTTAACGAATCGATAGTATTTAAAAAAAACCAATATTAGATAGTTGGAGGCAATTGGCAGGAAGCCTTGGACCTAGGTTTCGTGCTAGTTGACACTCGTCAGTAAGGCTTATCTGAGACTCTGAAGGAACTCATGAAACTCCTGAGATTCGAACCTGCGTCACCCAGTGCTGCAGTCAGAGACGTTACCACTTAGCTATTCGGGCTCGCGATTGACTTCCTTTAGGACTGTAGTTGGTATTTTGATTTGACACTAGTAACTAGTGTGACGTATCTAGTCCTTTCTTTGGTGCAGGCTGTCAAGTTTGCAATGCAGCACTGGGTGACGTGAGTTCGAATCTCAGAATGGGTATGAGTTCCTTCAAGGGTGTAGATACGCCTTGCTGACGAATGTCAACTAGTATGAAACCCAGGTCTTGCAAGGCTTCCTGCCAATTGCCTTCAACTATCTAATATCGTCAAATCAATGTGCATCGTGATGACGAGCTACCTAGAATGGTGGCCACATTGCCAACCTGACTGATAGATTTCAGTCTGCACCAAAGAAAGGACTAGACACGTCACGCTAGTTACTAGTGTCCAATCAAAACAACAGTAATGTTAGTGAAGATTATTCTAGAATATTCCATGTATATAATTGTAGAGCTGGAAGGGGAAATTATCGAAAAGAATATTCTTTGATCAAATTTTCTTTTGTCTTCTGAATGTTTAATTGAATATTTTCGTTATATATTTACCACTCTGTTTAGAGCTATTTACGAGTTGTCAGCCACCTTTTAATATTCATTCTTTTTTGTCTATTTAAATGTGAACTAGAAAACATGTCTGAACCGGTTATACGACTATCCGTTTTTGTTCTTCATGCATAACTAAACTGAGTTGGCATTTGTAACTTTAGTTCCAGACTAACAAAAACACATGCGAGTTATATGTTTCTCTGTGGCATCTAGCTACAGTGTAATTTTCATCTCAGATTCAGTTGTAGTAGTTGTTTGCGTCAACCAAGTAATCCTTGTCTTCAATCACTCACCATTGTCTTCTCTACTTTTCCGATGAAGGCTCATCATTAAAAACGTTTAGTAATGTTTTCCATTATCTACATCTTATTAATTTTGTGCGTCGGTGGCATAGCCGTTAGGACGCTCGCCAACCATGCACATGGTCCGGGGTTCGATTCCCGGCCGACTCACTCCTTTACCTCGCTAAGTCAGAAATAGTTCTGGTGAAGAAGAAAGGTTGGGCATGAGGCTACCAACACCATCCTGTAAAAATAAATAAACACTGCTACAGAAACTTCAAGCCACTAGCTTGAAGCCCTATGTTCCACTGGGAACGTGAAGGAAAAAAAAGAACATCTTATTAATTTTACTCATTAAGCCAAATTATTTCATCACATATGCCTTTTAAGTAAGGAGAAAAACATTTTGCAGTTACTGAATGTCTCTATAGAACGCCCTAACAGTGATATTGATTCTTTCTATTTTTATATGCATACGAAAAGATATAATGTAATTTCATGATTAATCACTAGGGAGTTTCTCCCTACGGCAATTTGTACATTATTTCTTAAATGTGTTATTCAATACCCATTATCTTCAGCTTATATTCTTATTTTGCCCGTGCTACGTTAATGTGTAGCCAACTTTATCTGATTTTCTACTATTTGAGCTTATCGATTTAGTTTCATTTCTTTTGGCGCCAACATAATCAATCAGCAGTTTACCCATTTTGACTCAGCTAAGTGAGCCGAATCATTTAAAATCAGCCGAATCATTCTGACTAGCTACTTAAGCGAACTGGTGTAGTACACTGGATCAAACTCACCATTCACAGATTAATTTACCCTTCACAATTTATACCGTTCAAGGTGAGATTTTACCGATGTTTTTCTTTTGAAAACAAAATTGTTCAAATCACAATATGATGTGATGTGCAAATTGTGAGTGTGATCCAGTGTACTACCCTGTTCCCCAAGTAACTAACCAGAATTCGAATGGTTTGAACTGACTGAACTATCGGAACTGAATCGAGCTGAGTACACCATCTGATTGCGATGGGACTATCAGTATCCTCAAGACTGAAAATTTTAAAATCTACTGAACACATTTTAATGTCATTCATATGTTTAACTACTTTCAGCCTATATAATAATTTGCTTTATTCCAGAAACAGTACTAGTGGTACAGTGTGGAATTTTCAGCACATATCTACAATATTTCCATCTGATTTTATCAAACATTTAAAAGGAGTATTTCAAAAGATAAATATAAAGACAACAACAGCAAAAACGAAACAAAACACAAAAAACAAAATAATTTTTAAAAAAATGTGAAAAAATACCAAGAAGGAGAAGGGAAAATAAACAGCGTATAATAATATCTCAGTATTGGGTATTGGAAGCTATGATGTGATTATGCATGGTGACAGTAAAGCTATAGTCATACAAGAAGTTATGAAATGATATTTAAGAATGTTTATCGCCAAGATGATCAGTTAATTTGTTTGAAAAAACTCTAAACAACCATAAAATAACATTTCAGGGTTGTTGTTTTGTTTTTTATTGTCAGGTCTAATGCAGTGTTTGTAGTGGTAGTGTGAGTCATCCTGCATAATACAAAATTTTAAGATGGTGATAATGGCTTTCACAACCAAGACTGTCAGTTAATATTGCTGAACAAAAAAATACAACAACAACCACAAAAACTAATAATTACATGAGGGTTAATAACAGGACAATTTTGTAATACTCATAGTGCTAATATAGTCGGAACCAGTAGATACACGAAAGAAGGAATAGAGTAAGGTACAAAAAAGGAAGCCAATTTTTATAATATAATATAATAAGTTGTTTTATTGGTTGGAGGATTTGAAAATAAGCTGTTTTGTCCATGCAATATGCATCGTTTTGATAAATCCTTTAATGTGTTTTTTGTTTTCCTTTCAGTAAAGCAAGACAGAGTAGTTAAAAGCTCTGCAGATTGTCTAGATGCTGTAGTTATCGGTCTAATTGCTGTGCACAATCCACCTCCTAGGAAAACAATTGGAGTTTACAACTCGAACACAAGTGGTAGCAATTCAAGTTCTATTTCAAATCTATCCAATTCATCTTCTAGTCAATCTGCTTTTGCAAATAATTCGATAAGGTAAAAAACAAACTTAGAGGTTAATTTTTCTCTCTTTATACTACACTAATAATTTACTTTTAATAGATTCAATTTTGAAACTTAATGTCAGATAATGTAACCACTGGTGTGTATTGCAATGTTTTTTTAGCAAAGCTTTAAACTTGATCATTCCTATTGTAATCTGACAGAATAGGTTTAATATCATCGCACATAGACGAAATGCTCAACTATAGTAGTAATAAACCAATTACCCACAACAGAAACTGCGTGCAGACATTGTTTAAGAGAGTTCAAACACACTGTAGCACTCCAGTGTTGGAGAGAATGGAAGAAAAATACCTACTAACTGTCTTCAAAAAGAATGGATATCCGCACAACTTCATCAAAAAGTGTTTAAAATTGAGTCACACCACCAACAAGAAACCATCATCAAAGACTTCAAGTAAATTCATCCAACTTTTCTTGGCGTTTCCTCTGTCTAATATCTGAACGTTGTCCCAGTCGAATTGATGTTCATGGTTGTCTGTATGCAGCGAAATGAGGGAGTGGATGTCATATCTTTTGACGGCTAGCTTAGGTTCATGGACCGAAGAATAAGGGGACGTTCACTTTGGCCAATGTAGTGTTTTTCGCTGTTGTTACAATTTATTTTGTAGATAATGTTGGTTTTATCTTTCGTTGTTGAGTCTTCTGGTTGACATAGAACTGAGTGAAGTGATTTTGTTGGTTTGTGTGCGATATCAATTCCTAAAGGTTTGAACAGTCCTGAGGTGATTTCTGAGATGTCTCTTTATATATGGTGGGGCGATTTTCGCTGTGATTTCCTTAGGGGCCCTTGATTTGATAGGTTGGCTTGGGAGTATGTCTTTTGCTGAAATTCCATGGATATCCCTTCATTTTTAAGACGTCCATGAGATATCTTTCTTCAATTTTCCTTAATGTGGGAGTGCTTCAATGAGTCCTGGCCCTCTTGACTAGTGTTTTTATACAATTCCTTTTGTGTGTTATTGGATTGTTGCTGTTGTAGCTCAGTATTTGGTCTGTGTGAGTTGAATTTCAATAAACTTGAGTTTCTAATTCCCCTGTGGTTGTTCGCTTGACTAAGACGTCTAAAAATGGGATTTCGCTCTCGGATTCCTCTTCTCTTGTGAATTTGATGTCATTGAAGACGTTGTTTATTAAGTTGTGAGTTTTATCCAACTTGAATCTTTTGATTACTACAAATATGTCATCCGAATTTTGGGTTTGATTTTTGGTAGAATTATGTTTTCGAGCCTTTGCATCACTGCCTTCGCAATCAAACCTGATATTGGCGATCCCATGAGTGTTCCTTTAACTTAAGCGAATATTTGGCCGTTTAATTGGAAGTACGTTGTTAGGCATAGGTTTATGCATTCCATTCAACTTCCGTGTTGCATTTTTGATTGTTGTGGGAGGTGTTCGTCGTTGCTGAGTAGTTGCTCCATGGTCTATTTTGCCAGTTTCTGTCCAAATGAGGTATATAATGTTGTGACGTTGAAGGATATCATTATTTTTTGGTCATCTAGTTGGGTGCTTCTGATTTTCTATAGAAATTGGATAGCAGAATTGATGGGGTGATCATAAGATTCCGTTAGGTGTTTCAATTTTCTGTTTAAGCCTGGTATTTCAGTGAATCGTCGGTCAATAAACACATCGAGATGGACAAAATTTACCAGCCGATAAGAAGGAAATCTCATCCTATCACGTATAAAAATAACACGTATAAAATAACAGATATAATATTAAAGCCATTTGGAATACATATAGCACACAAAACAGTCAAATCACTTTATTCGATATTGTTTAAACCGAAAGATCCGTCAGAAAAAGAAGATAAAATTAATACCATTTACAAAATAAATTGTTTGAAATGTATGATATAATATAATGTATGATAATAACTACGAAGTAATGGGATCATATCAAGAACAGGGAAAACGTGTAAATATAAAAAGGATATTGAATTTTTGTCTTTAAGAACTATGAAATACACTGATAAGAGTTGTAATTAAAAAAGACAAGAATTCTATGTACATGTCAAAGAGGCAAAAAGAATGGAATTCGTGTTATGAGAGTAAGAATAATGCTACCGATGATGACGTTAGTGAGCTTCTTTTTGGGAATCACAATAATTAGGTACAAAAAAGATTATGTTAGAGGTGTAACAATAAACTGCTTGTAATTTTTCTGAACGTATTGCTGGAGTTTCAGTTTTTGACTGAGAAAGTTATTTTTTCATTTTTCATTCTTATGCTCTACGAAAGGAATATGGAGTTTCAGACTTTTAAATTTCAGTACAGCTAGTGTTGGTTTAGGGGCTGGGGTTGCCCACTATTCTCTCTTTCTTATCAGCCAGTAAACTAGACAGGGTTTAGACGTGAGTTAGTCGGGAATGGAACGCGGACTGCCTCCGTGTCTTGTTTTCATTCTACCATTGAACTACAGACACACCAGTGGACAATCATTATTTTTTTTAAACTATTTAATTTAAATTTTCACAAAAAACTTGAAATAAAGTCATTCAAGTTTCATCTTTCTTGTAATTTTTTTCACTAACCATACCCTTTTCAGAATCTGTTTCCGCATTAAGTCACTGCGTTACCTATTTAAACTTACTTAGGAATTCATATTTAGCAGGATTATTTTTTGTTTTGTGTTTACAATTAATAAAAACAAACAAATGTGAACATTTACGTAGTGCAGTAACGAAAATACTCCACCATCACACTCATATTGAATGATTGCAATAAGAGTGAAACATTCATTCTAAGAACTTGGATATTATGACTTAGAAGTGAGACCGGTGGCACCATAGAAGTGAACACTTAACTTATAGATAGATTTTGAAAGCTTCCCTACTAAGCAGTTTAAATATATCTTTATGTATTTTGAATTTTCATTCTTCTGTAACACTTTATGTTATTGATTCCATTCTCTGTTTTCCCTTTTCATCCATTCAACTTATGATATTCTAACTTAAATATGTCAGGTTCTATGATATTTATGACTGTTTGTTATCATTTGTGAGCTTTTTGGGATGTTGGTGAGAATCTTAGGCGGAAAATCATTTGATAAATGTGATAATGAATGGAATCTTATCCATAACAGAGTATTCTCTCATTGAGTAGCTAACTTTGTGTGCATCTGGTTTCATCATGAACTTTTTATACCTACAAGCAGCACTCTACAACCAGGTATACTAAGGAATCGTTCTCAGTGGCGCAGTTGCACTCAGCAATTTTGTTTTCTCACTTTTTTCTTCCTCTGTGTGCTAAGTGGAGTGTGAAAACTCGAAATGCTTCACCTGTTTGCAGTCAGTCTGTGTACCATAGTTGTGGAGAGCGGAATTTCTCGAAAACTTTTAGACTCACAGTCTCAGTTGTTAAACTTTCAGTAGATGCGTCTTGGGTTTGACCTTGCTACAGATATATCAGCTTGGACAATCAGATTATATCATAGGCTATCACACAAGTACCACTTACAGGCTGATAAATGAAAATTTATTGTATATAACTGAGCTGTAAGTAGCTACTAACTGAGTTTTGTTTAGCTGTTTAACTTTTATTGGTGTTTTATTTTTCAGTCATGCATTGTTTTATTGATACTGAGCATTATTTTCTGTATTAGTGATCAAATCACTTATTTTTCGTCTATTACAACATATTTGCTAAGTTACGTTTATTGCATTTTTTTAAACATTTATAAATATTTTGCAGAGCAGATGGTTATTATTGTGTACGTCTGGGTCTGGTTTATGCCGGTAGACCATTGAGTAAAGTTTATCCTAGTGAAATGGCTAATTCTCCAGTGAATACAACTGGCAATCATTACAATTCAGTGCCTTATAATCAACAATCGAAAGAGTTCTGTTGGGCAAATAATCATGCTCTATCACGTGACAGTCAAAATAATAAACACATCAGAGATTATTTTATCAGTGATCCTGGTCGTTATCAAACAATACAGTCTGGATTTCCTAAAGTGTTACAATTTGATCAATGGTTCAAATTTCCAAGTATGTTTTTCTTAAATTTAATGGAAACGCTTCATTTTCATAAACAACTGTTTTATGAATGAAACAATAAGTCATACCACTGACCTTCTTCATAAGAATCTTAGAGTATCGCTTTAGCAGTAATAGTTGTAAACCATTCACATTGAACAGTAGTGCTCACTAGCTAGATCAAAGTTATCTAAACACCAGATGGCCACCGAATCGGTTGGTGGGCGCGCTAAAATCACAAGTTGGTAGAAGTTAGAATTCATGGGCCATTGAATCGAGTCTCAGCAGCTGAATGGTATACGAACTTGGAAACGAAACGACCACGAACCCGTCGCCCAACACATATACTGAAGTAAGTGGAGATCGGACACATGCTGAGAGGGCTTTGGAGTGACGTCACGTACCAGATTCCTCAGTAGTGATTTGAGAAATGGCGAGCTGGGCGTGGGTCTGAGAGTGAAGTGGAGGCAATCATACGAAGAGAATATGAATGTTTGAGCAGCCACAGAGTAAGCTATTAAAGACTTCAAAGGTCAGGATGAAAAGGAGAAATGCTGCCGAAGCACATATGCTCTACTGTGTAAAGTAATAGTTCATTTATTAGGTAAATTATGTGTGCATTGGCTTTTAAATTCATCATTGACTTTATTTCCTAGATTCAGCCACTGAAAGTTCCTTTGAAGACCAATTGGTTTTATTTTTAAAGTCTCTTTGATTTAATCTTAGAAGACTGGACATATATATATATATATCATACCATGTTCTGCGTTGTGAGTCACTGTTTGTGTCTGGTGCTATGGTATCATCGCGTTGGAAAGCGGCGTTCAAACTAGGACAGAGTGGATGAAAGTTACATGCTGACACCAATTATCCACACCTGACTGAGTATAAATTCAGTATAACTTTCTTAATAAACCAAAATTATGACGGCGGTTTTCCTGTTTACAAACCTTTTAAAAGCTTCATCCACTCCAGCAGTGTAATTGGAGTATAGCCATTAAACTCAGGGTATATCGGTTTTTATATTTCTTATTAGACTGTTGCATGCCTGTGAAATTCCTTTCTTCGAAAAGGTTATCATGCAACTGAAATAACTCCAAACTACACTGGTAGACATAATTTATTTGTGATATTCTTTTAAATTTCAATTACTGGTTAAATAACCAATGCATGTTAGCAATTTCAGTATTAATGGCTACACTACTTGTAAGTAGACTAATGATATATACTAAAGATTATCGCTAGGCCTTACCAAACAAATATGTTCTGTCTGCTAATCGAACAACATAACTAGAAATGGAATGTAATTTTCTGTTTTTTGTATAAGTTTAAATTTATTTATTGATTCCTTGTTTGTGTGTGTATTTGTGTTCTCCACTCATACAGGTTTTGCTATCAGTCAACTACCGAGAGAAACAATGCTGGCGATCAGTTTGTTTTCATGTAAAAAATTGAATTCTGATAATTCGGACGGTAAGTTTAAGATGAATTAACACAAATAAGATACGTTTGCCTTGATGTGATATTCTTTTTCTTCGTTTTATTACACATATATGAAATGTTTATAAGCTAATAGTTTAATTTATGTTGAGTTATTTGGGGCATCACCTAAATCTTCCGTGAGCAGTGGGGTACAGCATGTAGGGTGTGAAGGCAATTGCTCACCGATGACACTGGCTACTAGTCGTGCTATATGGTGAATTGACAGAAGTTGGAATTCATGGACTGGTCAGTGGATTGGGTCCCAGTGGATTATAGGTCTGTGAGCTCACCTTGTAACCGTCAGGTCCTGGGTTCGAACACTGGTGTATGCGTACTGATGAAGAGCGCCAAACTATGACAAAACAACTGTTCAGTACTCCCAGTACTCCAATGTGTCTCCAGCTGATGTCAGTTTATGATGAAATCCTGTAACCAATCAAATCCCTGTTAACCAACACTTGAATAATTCATTCTTATCTTGAGTGTCCCTATTCGTTAGGATCACTGTTTGCAAGTGAACGAAATATGCCACTTTTGGCATTATTTATCTTAAAAATTGTTTGAACAACAAAGCATCGATAGTTTCACTGTATGCAATTTGCTACTTCTTATAAGGTAACTTCGGATGGATTCAAGAATAAATGTATCAGTGAATATCTTAGTAAACATTGTCCGTAGTATACATTTTCCTGACTAGAATATTTCACATAATAGCGTATATGAAATATTTTGTATGACCGAAAGTGGATAAAGACATAATATAGGTGCGCTTGGTTATGAATTTCATAAGTCCTGATGATTACACAAATGGTTTTACTGAAATTATTAGAAATGACGTTCCATTTCAGATTTGATCACCGGTTAAAGTCGATTAGAGAACCATTGAAAACCAGGGAACAATGGACATCTGTTTCGTCCTATTTTGAGACTCCTCATCAGTATGCACTCACGACGCCACTTTGGATTGAACCCAGAGCCTTTGATTACGAGACCATGGTCTTTGACTATTCAGCCACTGGAATAGGGTCTGTGTTCGAACTTCTATCAATTAGCGATTATTAGCGTGACCATTTTTGCAGCGTGTATTTGTCTTCACACTCGACGTATTGGACCCAACTGGTCACGACTTCTCACTAGAACTCCAGGAAACTTCGTCCTGTAGCCAGTCTCTAGCAGTCATCAGATTAATTTTCAAGAGTTAGTTGGTGGGGATTTGACTTATTTTCAAGTTTGATCACAGATTATTATCAATCTGACGTCGAATCCTTACACACTGACTCTTGAAAATTAACTCTGTAGTTGCCCATCCCACGTGTTTCGATGATCTTTTTTTAACCCTAAAATATCGTGCTAGTGCTTTTATCCACATGTTTATACTCTTGAAACGTTGAAACTAAATGTCACCATTGTAGAAAAAAACACCGGTGCTAACTGAACTTCAATGCTTGAAGTCTAAAGCCTAAAGCTTCACTTTGAACTTAAAGGGATAAAAAAAAGATTATTTGGAAGAATACTTGATTCTGATAGAAGTAAATTCTAGGAAAGCTACACGGAAAGTATTTCAGAGATCTTTTTTAATAGCCTATTGTTTTCATTCTTTTTAAGGACACAGTAGCTGTTTAGTGTTAAAATATCGGCCAACATCCTGCTGTAGTGTAGGAGTATTTGTTGTCTGTCAAGACGTTACACGAAAACTCGGCTATCGTGTTATTCTCCGCGTATTTCGCACGCGCGGTTTTTGGTGAATTTCTAGTTCTAAGCTCATTTTGTCACAGCATATAGTCAAATTTCGAGGAGAGCCTTTCTTATGTTGGATCAAGTTAACACGACTTTTCTAAGTTTTATATTTCTGTTTATTTAGATGTTGTGATTGTAAAAATTTGACTGTTATCAAGGTAGATTTCATCACGAACTGAAATCTCTTAAACAAGTAATTAGAATCAAGAAACACTGAAGAGTTGTTTAATCTTGGTTTTAGAACTTCTCAGTAGGGCTTACTGACAACGCCTCCAGTGGTGGTAGGACCCAGCAACTAGAGGTTTTGTGGTAAGCACGTTCGTACTTTGCAGGAACTTAGTTGAAATCTAATGGCTCATGAATCCCAACTTTTGTTTCACTTTGTTGTTATGCCTGTATAGTTCTGCATGAGCGTGTTGCTTGTGTTGCATTAAAGTGATTAGAAATCATTCATTTTCAAAATAATATTTACTGTGAATCATACATTTTACTCGTAGTTTGCATGCGATCCCGTTGAATATCTTTTGGTATTGAGTGCAGTCCTATAAATTATATGCTCACAGTTGAATGCTGTTTCAACAATCAGACTCCATTATACTTTTTGATCGTTAGATATGATGAGGACTGAACTGATAAGTTTTTGCAGTGCTTTATCACTGTTTATCAAAAAGTTTACATGGTTGTATTGTCTGGAATATTAAATTTTGTCTTGTTGAGTTTCATTTCATTCAGATGAATAACATCTTTTTTGAAATATACTTATAATTTCTTTGTAGTTGACGGAACATTAATTGGTTGGGTGAATTTTCCTCTATTCGACATAAATGGTCGATTAAAACAAAATACAGCGATTGTTGGTCTTTGGCCACCATCTGAAATGATGCATGATTTTAGGCCTACTTGGTCTCAGTCGAATACTTCACCAGATTGTCCACTTGTACAGGTAAACTGATACTTATTCTACTGCCTTTAGTTTATTGAACAAAGTACAAAACTATGCATTATTATCGTCAATAAACAGCTTTCATTAATTTCAGTTAACAAATATTTATGGGTTTACATTGATTTTTATTTCTCGTGGCGGCCCATTTGAAACGTGCGCCACCAAATACGCCATCATTATATTTCTCTTGTTCAGTTTGTTTTAATCTATTGAAATATGACTTTTAATGGTGTTGTCCACTCTCGTGACTATTGAAAATGTCTACAAACCTGCTGATTCGGAAGTTTATACCGAACTTGAGAAAAAGCAAAACCGTAGGTGGCATCGTATTTCAGTATTATGAGATAACCGTTCCTATGATTTTTGGTACTGCCTGAGAAATAGAACTAATTACCGACAGTCATCAATTATTTAGCTATTATTATGTTCTTGGGTCAAAAAATGTACTTCTGCCCCTTTTTAATTGACTTTCAACCAAATTTTGTGCATTTCTCAATGGTGGCAAAGAAGAAATATCTTAAAGGATTGGTTTGCGCTTCAGGTCAGACAGCAGTGTATCACACGATTTACTCTCGGTTATCATTTAACTTGAAGATCCTGGACAAACAGAAACTATTATGCAATAATTACCACTGAAAATTCTGTGCATTACGTATATTAGTGGACTGCTTAAAACTTGGGCTACCAAAAACTTCCGTCTCTCTATTCCATATATTTTCTCTCGTTCGGTTTGTTTTAATCGATTAAGATTCGGCCTCTAACGGTGTCACCTACTCGTGTGTGTATTTAAAATGTTTACAAGCTACTGATTCACAAGTTTCTACTAAACTTGAGGAAAGGCTTGGTTGTGTGGGTGGCAACGTGTTCCAATACATGAAATGATTGTTCTTTACTTAAGTCTTCGGGTCTCAAAATGTACTTTTGAACATCTTACCAATGGCTTTCGTGGATTTCTTGAAGGAGACAATGCAGATATGCTATAATGAAATGGTTTGTGCTTCAGCTCAGAGAGCATTGTCTCACAGGATGTACTACTGTCAATTAATATTTTACTTGAAGATATTGTACGAAGGGAAAATATCATGCAGTAAAACTCCACTGAAAATTCTGTACATTTTAGAAAGACTGTCCAAAATAAAGATGTCATTATTAATAATAAACACTTTTCAGAATAAAACTACTATTATATATATATATTGTTGGTTTAAATATAAATCATAGATGTTTCTTGTTATTCCACTTTAGATTTTGCATTTCCTATTTTCAAGTATTGGTTTTGTAGGGATTTGGTTTAATTGCATGGAGGATTTCATCATGAGCTGACATCTGTCAGAAAACCACTGGAAAACCTGGGAGTACTGGACATCTTTTTCGTTCTAGTTTGGGACTCTTCATCAGTACACATCCACCGGGATTCAAACCCGGGATCTTCTGGTTACAAGGCGAGCTCATAGACCATTGAGCCACTGGGACCCAATCCAATGGTCCTATTCAGGCAGTTAACTTGGGGTTCTAGTGGGAAGCCGTGACCAGTAGGGTAGAGCAGGTTGAAGATGAGGCAGTAACTCATCGAAGAAGACATTGCGAAATGGTTGCGCTATGTCGTGAATTGGCAGAAGTTAGAATACAAGGACCATTGGACCGGGTCCCAGTGGCTCAATGGTCTACGAGCTCGCCTTGTAACCAGAAGATCCTGGGTTCGAATCCCGGTGGGTGCGTACTGATGAAGAGTCCCAAACTAGGAGAAACAGCTGTCCAGTACTCCCAGGTTTTTCAGTGGTTCTCCAACCGATGTCAGCTCATGATGAAATTTTCTATCTTGTTTATAATAAACGTACGTCTTTGTTTTAAATGAGAGATCTTGTTCATATATGTATTATTTTTGTATATAGCTTTGTTTTCCCGAATACCAATATGAGATTGAATTTCCTATCATCGAATTGAATAATGAATTTGCAACTGCCAGTGAAAAGTAAGTCACCTATTCTCCTTCTCTTGCATTATCACTACTCATGAAACTATTTTAAAACTCATTATATCAGATAATGTTTCTTTAGTAGTGCTAATAAAGATGTTATTTTCATCTCATGTTTTCAATGAGAGTCGTGTACTCTTGATATTTGAAAGGGTATTCAAACGGGTCCTTCAACTTTGATGTAATAATCATCAAAGGATAAAAAAATCATCTGGATACATTAGCTTCTTTGAATCTGTAATATATTCACCACAAAAGAAAGTTGACTATCATTCAGCTACTAAATTCATAAGTGCTAGTAATTTCAAATTTAAAAGTGAGTTCACTTGGGAACATAGTTGAGACAGTGATAGGTGCTGCAATTTTGGCGGACTCCATATGCCACATCTTTGCAGTAGATCTTCGAAGGAAGGGTGTTTCAAGAGAAACCACGAAAAGGTTAAAGTTTCGAGAGTTTGATTTAAGCTATGAACACTACACAGTAGCTTATAGCATATTTTGGAGTGACAGTTTTGATGCATTAATTCAGTTGTATTGAATTGCGAAAATAAACTGATCCGTATGCTTTTGAGCGAATCTATTGGTATTATATGGTTGGAGGCAATCGGCAGGAAGCCTTGAACCTAGGTTTCATGCTAGTTGGCACTCATCAGTTAGCGAGGCTTATCTGCAACCTCGAAGGAATTCATGTCCATTAGGAGATTTGAATCCGCGTCACCCAATGCTACAGTTAGAGACATTACCACTGAGCTATTCAGGCTCACAATTGACTGTATTCGATGTTTTCGACTGGACATTAGTCAGTAACTATTGTAGTATATCTAGTCCTATCTTTATTGCAGACTGAATTCTAACAACCATCTAATACAAACAATTCAAAGTGATGGAGAGCAAGATAGCATGATGGTCACATTGCGAACTTGACTGATAGAATTCAGTCTGCACCAAACAAAGGGCTAGATACATATCACTAGTCTGAGCAAATTTATTAATCATTTTTCCTACACTAATAATCATAAAAATGTATTATTATTGATGCATACATTGGGTGTTGTTTTGAAAGTTTGTCAGTCGAAAGTCTTCTGCAAACTGGTTTCACTCATTACAAAGCTTTCAGTGACGTCCGAGTAAATAAACCATTCCCTGTTAAATTAAAACAGTCTTTAGCACACTTCCAAATCAGTGTTGACTGCCAGAGGTACAAATGTTTACTATCCTATTGAAATATTATTTATATTCTCATCAATGTACATCATATCGCCTTCATTTTCAAATCTAACTAATAAGATCAAGTTATGGAGGAGTATCAAATATTAAATACAGTGGTTGACTAAAAGTTTTGAGTAGCACTCTCTAAGTGTTGTTATTTAAGTCGGTTTAAGTAGTTATTAGTACAATGATTTCTGTTTAGCTTTGAGTAAATAGCAGCGTCGGTGGCATAGCGGTTAGGACGCTCGCCGACCATGCACACGGTCCGGGGTTCGATCCCCGGCCGACGCACTCCTTTACCTCTCTAAGCCAGAAATAATTCCGGTGAAGAGGAAAGGTTGGGTTTGAGGCTAGCAACCCCATCCTGTAAAATAAACACCACTGTTACAGAAACTTCAAGCCACTAGCTTGAAGCCTTATGTTCCACTGGGGAACGTGAAGGAAAAAAAATGAGTAAATAGCACTTGATTAGAGTTTGATGTCTTCCTCCACCCTTTTCCTAATAATGTACCATTGTTAACAGTAAAATTTAACTTCTGCACATGACTAAAGTGCTAATATCTGGGTTATATTTGCTAATTCCTTATTGTAAATATGGTATCAAAATAATTCTAGAAGTGATTCATGCAAATTTTCTCGTATTATCTCTGTAACTTTATTGACCGACTTAACTTTCTTTTTATTTCAGAATCTGTTCACCATATAGTAATCTTTGTCCAGAAGCAAAACAATCAATTCTTGAAGCTAAATCTGCAATATTTCTACAAACCCTAAATCCAGAATTATCATTTAAATCAGTAGATGCTTGCGTGATGGCTTATAGTGCAGCATCTTCATCTGTGCGTAGATCTAGTCAAAAAGAACATGCTCGCATTCCTGTATTACAATTAGCAACTCTTAATTCTATGCATTCATCTTTCAGTCAATACAGTATGGGTTCATTTGGCAGTAATGTTGGTGTTAATATTCATACCAGTGGTAGTATTGGAAATAATGTGACTTTGAACAGCAACAATAGTAACAGTAGTGGTAATAATAACAGTAATAGTACTAGTAGTATCCAAGCATGTAACATCAATTCAATCACCTGTTGTTTACCCTGTCCACCACCAGTAACAACTGAAGTATTATGGAATTTACGTTATTCTATTTGTGATGTACCTGAAGCTATGCTTGCATTTGTTACCAGTTGTTTAGTTAGTTGGCCACAAATAACTAAGCAGAATTTAAAAGATACGTCGGAGAAATGGTCTTGGATTAGGTTGCTCAGAGAAATATACAGGTAACTTGAACTGTCGTGTTATTTATTCTGTAATATTATATCATTTTAGTTCATTGATTATTCATTCGTAGACATTCAAGTATTGGTTTGTAGGCATTTGATTGATTGGTTACAGGATTTCATCATGAGCTGACATTGATTAGAGAACCATTGAAAAACCAGCTGGGAGAACTGGACAGCTGTTTCGTCGTAGTTTGAGACTCTTCATCGGTACGCATACATCAGTGTTCGAACCCAGGACTTTCCGGTTACAAGTCGAGTTCATAGAAAATTAAGCCACTGGGACCCTATCCAATGGCCAGTCCAAGAATTTCAGCTTCTGTCAACTCACGATATAGCGTGCCCACTAGCCACCGTCATTGGCGAGCATTTGTCCTCACACTCGATCCGCTATTGGATCGGGTCCCAGTGGCCTAATGGTCTAAAAGCTCTCCTTGTAACCAGAAGGTCCTGGGTTCGAACCGATGAAGAGTGCCACAATAGGACGAAGCAGCTGTCCAGTACTCCCAGCTGGTTTTTCAATGGTTCGGTAACTGATGTCAACTCATAACGAAATCTTGTATTTAATCGTAGACATTCACAGAGAAGAAAGAGAAAGTAAAGTCGTTGTACAATCAGTGAGATTTTGTTAATTGTTAATTTAGTGGATACAATTTAAATTTATGGAAGGGAATGAATTCTAAATCACAGTTACGGAAATAAAATGGTCACTAACTTGAATTTTATCGAAAGAGAGTGTTGCTTAGTTCAGATGAAGTTTGGATGAGTTAGGGAGGTAATATCGTACTTAAAAACAATAAAGTTTATTGTATTATGCATGTGACTCCTAGCGTTTATCCAATGCACAAGTAGTTATTTTAGTTATACCAAAATGTTCTTAGAGAAAAGTGAAATTTGGTCAGTGGGAAATCTGCGGTCGCTGGTACAGTAGATCCAGCTGGTCTTGAACAGTAGTAGCAAGATGATACTCAATTTCTTTGAAAATCTAAAATCTATAGCCATAAAGGCATATCAAACTGTATCTTTTAAATTTGTAATTCAAACTATTCAGTTTGACTTGATACATTTCTGATATGAATAATCCAAAAATATTCTTCACCATGAAGTTTCTTCAGCCTTTATAAATGAGTTAGTGATATGCATAGAATATGATAACATTAATAAACCAGAAGATTAGAAGGGGAATGAATATTTTGTCATGAAAAGACCCAAATAGTAGTATTCAGAAAAATTTGATTTAGTTTACTACATAACAGTTCAAGATGGAATGCATCTATGATCTCCTTTGTACACCAAAAGTATTCACATCACGAAATATGTTCTTCTGGACTGTATATATAAGTTTTTTAAGAAATTATATCCGGCGAGGGAATTAGATCAAAGGTGTGAATACACGAAATAGTAATAGTATGAAATGCAATTAAAATGTGTGATTATAATCATAGTTAAATTTTAAGTAGCAAATCAAATAATGTCATATATAGAATAACGCATAAGGTGTATAGATGTTGGAAAGGGGTGCATAATTATAAGATTAGTAGGCGAATATAAAATGTTACATAACATGGTGTGAAATTTCAGAAGACAGAATTCAATATCGTAAGAATTAAAAATAATAATTTTGGATTCAGAATGACAAGTGGGACAAGCGGAACAAATTCAGATTGAGAATAGTAATAATAATAATAGTAATAAGGGAAAGGTACACGATAACTAAATAAACAACCAAATAAATAAAGACAGTGGTGGCTGTCTTCAGAAGTCTGTAACGAAGAAAACGCGGCAAGTTGGCATGGATTAGGTAAACGATCTTAAAATCATGGTCAGGGTTGGCAGAGTGACAGGAGTCGATCAGGTGTTCCACAATACAGTTTCGCACACACTTCCTTTCTCCCTTGTAAAACCATGCTGGAATATGTTCTCGTATCCGTGTTGAAAGCGTTCTCTGGCTACGGCCAATGTACCTTGCTGCAGATATGCTCAAAACCCGTCTCTCAAAAGTAGTCAGTAAGACGTGTTTTGCAGCAAAATTACAAATGACCTTCACCAGCCACAAGTTGTTCCCCATCTCTGTGAAAGATAAGCTCCCCCGTCTGGTCGCCTCCATGTGCATCTATCAGTTCACCTATTCTAGTGAAGCAGGATAAAATTTCTTAAAGAACATATATATATATACGATTGTACAGCTTGATAATAAATTCTTTGAAAAGAGTCTCTTCGCTGAATATTCTGTTCTGAATCAGAATAATTCGTCTAATGGGCATTTAGTTGCATCTACCAAAAAACTGTTTACACACAGTAACTGCGTTTATGCATCTTATTGTCAATTGATGGGTAGTACTCATTAGATTTTGAATTTACAGTCTTATATACATATATATATCATTGAAAAGCTCTTTTCGATCATGCATTTCTCACTTATGAATAAGTAGTCATTGTTGTTTGTAAGCCCAATATTTACTAAGTGGTCACTTATATCAAACATTTTGATAACATACATTTTTTCCTGTCGTAATTTCTTTCATGATTTTGATTCACTTATTTATACTTGTTCAGTCTTTTAACAGTTACCCCAGTGCCTTATCCTGGTCTTGTTCTACGTTTACTTTCACCGGATGTTGTTGATCAAGGCATACGTCATTGGGCGACAAGAGCATTATCATTACTTTCATCTGATAATCTTCTTCTGTACCTACCTCAAATAACCGAGGTATTTTTTTATGCATAAATTTTTTAGCTGTATCATTTCATTTATCCTGCATTGTAATAATATTTTTTCTTTGAATTAGTTAGTTTGTTCTCTGCCTTTTTCCATTATGTAGGATATTACTACGGCTACTTAATATTTACCTATTACATCATACTATTCGTAGGCAATTTTAACTTTCTTCAGTCTCATATCATCGAATCGAATGGTTATGTAGGGTTTGTTTTGATTAGAATTATCAAGGCTCTGACTAAGAACCTGAGGTTATTAAGTATTTGCTATTGTCCACTGTCATCTGTACTTTATATTTGATGAGTTGTGTAGAATATTACCCAAAGACTAGACTTGTATGAATTAGTACTGCTGGTCTTTAACAGTTTAATGCGTCAATTGTGTAGTGATAATGTAAATCTACTTTGCGGAATTCAGTCGCTCCTTAGTTCTACAAGATCTGGTAATTATTATTCTCCATTGATTGGTCATGTTAATTCATTTTATCTGCGAAAATTGGATTTATGTTTTAGGGGGAGTGTAAATTTTCACTGAAATAAGTCCATACTTTTTACCCTAAAAGTAACTACACATTTTCATAGATTCTTTCGTCTCCAGTAAAAAAGAAATTTAGTAAGGACCCTCATCCACAGGGTTAGAGCTATATGCTCAGAAGAGGTAACTGAAGATGAACTAAGGATTTTACATGACACCCTAATTGAAAATAATTATCTAGAAAAGTTTATCAAGAAACACATGACCAAGAAGGCAGAAAAGGACTATTCTCCATGTGTGAATAAGAAGCCTGTATATATACAACTGAAATTCAAGGGTGACACACTTAGTGAAGTAATTAATAACAAAGAACCTTTAATCCTGGTTAACTACAATTCTTATTCTCCACACGACCAATGGTGATTCGTTGATTGGAAGATGAAGTACCTAGACTAGACACCCCTTAATTGTATCTACCACTTCAACTGCGCTTGTGAAGCGAGTTATATTAGCCGTTGCTCTAGGAACTTGATTTTTCATGCTCGGGAACACATACCAATGTGGCTAAGTAATTGTGTAGTAAAAGTCATCAACATTTCAATATTAGATCAGCTGGTCCAAACCGGCTAAAAAAAGCTAACATTGACGAATCCTTCTCTGTTATCTATCGCGTACCAAATAAATTGCCAAAATCATTGAGGTACCACATGTTCCAAACAGAAGAGGCTATCGCGATTTGCCTTAAACAATCAGCGCTTTGTGTGCAAAAGAAGCAATTCCAGCCACTACTACTACCCTAGCCTTCAGTGAAGACTACAAATTCATGAATTTGTATTATTATCTTTCTTAATTTATCTGATATTCAGTGTGTATTATTATGTTGAAGATATCGAACTGTAATCCATTGATATTATCATTATTAATTCGATGTTGTTTAAACAACAGTAATGTTGTTAATAACACTAATTCTACTAACTACAGGTCTATTATGATTATTTAAACAATATATCAAAGTCAACTGCTTCCCTTCTAGCACTACTGCATATAAAGGTCATTTGTTTGTGGTGCTGTCATTTTACTAGTGTCTGCAGTTTGTTACTATCAAAACTGAGTCACAGAGATTTTATTTTTGATTACAGCTTGATATCACACTGTATTTTCAGTATAAGTATGGAATCTTCAGCATGTGATATCGATAGCCCAAATTTTGCAGGCCGACCATAGATATCAGGTGTGCGTCGGCAGGGGATCGAACCCAGGACCATGCACATGGTCGGCGAGAGTCCTAGCCACTGTGCCACCTATGATAGTTGTTTCTAATATGTCAGATACTAAAATATACTCTGGTTAAAGTATCGTATGTCGTTATATCCTGGCTACCCAAAGTATTATTATTTATTATTGTTCCCTTGGGTTCCTAGTGGAACATAGGGCTTCAACTGCACGTCTCCACTTGCTTCTGTCTTCTGCTGTACTTTTCACTTGCGTCCATGTTATTCCATACTGTTTCATCTCCTCCTCGCACGATCTCCTCCATGTCACCCTTGGACTTCCCACTCGCCGCTTCCCTTTCGGGTTCCACTCGAGGGCTTGACACGCGATGTCACTCAACGGCCTCCTCAACGAGTGTCCAATCCATCTCCACTTCCTCCTGCATATTTGTTGGGCGATTGGTTCCTGTTTCGTTTGTTCCCATAGCTTCTTGTTTGTGATTCTTTCCGGCCATCTAATCTTCAGTATGGAGCGAAGACAGTTGTTGATAAAGGTCTGCAACCTGTTGAAAATATTCTTGGTGACTCGCCAAGTTTCTGATCCGTAAAGCAAAATTGACTTCACGTTTGTAGGCTACCCAAAGTACTTTTCGTTTATTTGCTTTTGTAGTCATCTTTTTATCTATTCAGTAATATCTGATTTCATTTTTCATTCTGATTTCTATTCTTTCAGGCAATAAATCATGACTTGTATCTTGATTATTCTGGTCTAGTAAGCTTGATTTTACATCGAGCTGCTTTCTCAATGCGATTCGCCAATGCTTTATATTGGTAAGTGAAATGTGAACTGGATAAGAATAGTTAGTTCTTGGAGTGATATTTTACTATTTAACGGCAGATATTTTTTATCGGGTTTATTTCATTTAACACATTTCAGTTATTTATAATACCATGAAATGAATACGATTCATTGCCATTTCTGTGTAAAATGATATAAGCCAATATGTAATTATGATGAATGATACTAACTAGCAGTTTAAATATCAGTCAGTAAGATTTCAAACTAAGGGTTGGTGACTTAGCAGTAGAATGCTTGCTAACGACGCTTGTAATCCGGGGTTTGATCTCCGGTCGACGCACTCGCTAAGCTGTAATGAAGACCGGTAAAGAGGGAAGGTTGATCATTAGGCTAGCAACCCCACCCCGTAAAAATAAACACCACTGCTACCGAAACTTCTAAGCTGTAGCTTGAAGCCCTATGTTCCACTGGGAATGTAAAGGAATAAGATAAATAAAAATATTAGAGATTTCAACTGATGATTTAGGAATAGTTTTGTTTAAAACATGAGACTATCATTAATCATTCTTAATTGTGACAACATAATAAGAAGATGTAGTTTATCTGAAACGTGTAATGTATTGACGCAACACATTTCGGACATTCTGATCACATACGTACTTGTTATACACAGTTTTTATACAAGGCAAGAAGGCATGAATAATTAAAATACAGGTCAGATTGTGTACAGGTCAAGGTCTCAAATAATGGGTGGAGAGATGGCGTAAAAGGTGTGGGTAAGAAAGATAAAAAGAGAAAAACAAAACAAAGAAGGGGTTGAAAATTTTATGAAGTAAATTGGACCTTGGTTCTAAATTGGATTACCAAGCCAGGTTTAAGTTGATAACAAATAACTTTTGGACACATAGGACAGGTTTAAATCTTAAAGGGGACTAATTGCTTTAAACATTGTTAATTGAGCTCTAAATATGAACTGGACAAACAGTTAGTTAATATATAAAGTAGTAAAAATATATAACATCTAATTCAGCGGAGGTTCTTTCAGACGAATTCACTTTCTTTAGCTACACAATCGTGTTTGTATAGAATCTTTCGAGGAAGAGGATAGTAACAATAGTGATGAGTTGTCATAATCCTAGTAGTTAATATTAATCAATGCATTTAAGGAGGTGAATAAGTGTGTTAGAGTTACGTAATAAAGGGAATAATTTGGTGAATGATGCTCTTCGAAAGGAAGGAAAATGTGATGTTACGTAGAAAATCGAAAGGGTCACTAGACTTACAAGGAATTAAGAAACAAACAGATAAAATCAAGTTAGTTGGAAACTACAAGACTGTTACTATGATAGTAGAAATGGAGGATTTCATTATGAGCTGACATCAGTTAGAGAACCATTGGAAAACCTCGGAGTGCTGGACAGCTGTTTCGTTTTACTTTGGGATTCTCCAGCAGTACGCACCTACCAGAGTACGAATCCAGGACCTTCTGGTTACAACGCGAGCTTGTAGACCTGGTGAGTGCGTACTTTGAAGGGTCCCAAACTAGGGAGAAACAGCTGTCCAGTAATCCCAGCTTGTTTTCCAATGGTTCTCTAATTGATGTCTGCTCATGATGAAATCCTCCAACCAATCAAACAAAAAAAATCTCCACATAACCAATACTTGAAGATAGTAGAAATGCTTGAATAATTGTATTTAGTATGTAGAACTCCGTTTTCTGTATCTGAATAATGAGAGCTTTAGTAATGCAAAGGAGGCTGTCTTTGGCAGGTTATTTTTCACTTTGTAGATTACTTTGAAGAAAGAGTTTGTTGAGATAGAATAACCACTGCTATTAAAAAGGGGCGTGCTTTATTTATTTGATAAAAACAGATATAAGCTCTAGTTTAAGCAAAGAAATAAATGTGACAAACTTTTTGTGAAGCTAAGAGACGCACAGAGAGAGAAAGGGATGACTAGAACTCATAGCAGTGCACGTGATGGTAATTATATAATATTCACAGTAAAATTACATGACACATTGATCTAATCCATAACACTGTTGTCTGAAGAAAAGGAGGTAAAGAAGTAAGAGAGGCGTCAAACGAAAATACTAAGCAATCAAACCATCAATCACAACCATTAACTGGCGAATAACATGTTATTTTCTCTGACAAAATACTTAGCAGTTCATTATTAATACTGTAATTACACTTTAAAAATCTATTAATATTGCACACACCCGATTTAGGATAGACTGATTTCATTTATTCATTCGTTGAAACAAAGAATTTAGTTTAGTTGATTTATTTTGATACATATTCGTCAAAGTGTCTTTCACTTACCCTGTTCACCCCTCAAATGCTATCCCGTACGACAATGCTATCCGTTTATTGGAAAGTTAGATTTGTATAGATTAAAGGAATGAAAAGGAGAATGTAGTCACTATATTTCAAGTTTGATCTGTTAGAAGAACACTGGAAAACCAAGGACAGCTGTTTCTTCATAGTTTGGAACTCACTGACAGTAATTAGCCACCGGCTTCCAAAACGAGGACCTTCCAGTTACAAGGCAAGCTTGTAGACCATTCAGCTTCTGGGACCCAACCCAGTGGTTCATGAATTCTAACTTCTATTAATTCATACTTTTAGCTGATAAGTCCAGGACTGAGACGAAACAGATATCCAGTACTTCCTGGTTTTCAGTAGTTCTCTAACTGATATCAATCTGTGGTCAAACTTGAAGCAGATAAAAGCCCTACTAAAAAACTCTTGAAGTCATTTTATGTAGATATTTGCATCGTTTAAGTTATTGCAAGTTTTCCCAAAACTTTCCGTATTTTTCAGAAAGTTGATCATAATCACTGAGCGGTATTTACTCAGTATTATCTTTTAAGTCACAAGTGTAGTATAAAGATTACTTTAATAGCATCATATAACCCAGTGTTTCTCAGAAATAATCATTCAGCTTTGCGGAGCACTCTTGCATGTACTGAACTTTTTGAAGATAGCTTAATTGGCAATAAGAAGTAAAACATAATTGGGCTAAAATTTATTATTTGTTGAGATCGCTATTTTCTATTTTGTTTCACGAAATCTACTTTTAATATTGAAGGTATTTATATCCGATGCTTAATCAAAGTCCATCTTCATCAGAATGGAAGTTACAACGTTTTCGATTTATTCAAACTGCTTTGTGCTGGAATGCTGATCCTAGACTGCTTACAATGTGGAGACGTCAAGAAGAAATGATCAATCATTTGTCTGTAACTGGTGAGTGAATAACCATCTGCTAATCGTTTACGATGTACCTACTCTACAACGGAAACCAGTGAATAGAAAACTTTTTGGTTTAGGTTTCGTGTTTGCTGGCAGTAATGAAACAATAGTGTCTGAAAGTCTCAAAGTTTCATATTTCTCGAGATATCTAGTCGTGTTTCGTATACTTTGAATTGAAGTTCATAAATTACCTCTTGTACTACTGAATTATGTACAGGGAACTATTGTGGTTCGGTAACCGGACTTAGTTCATTAGCATAGTAAAAGCGTTTGTGTCATTGCTGTTGGGTAACGCGGGAACAGGAGTACCTTTAGTAATTCACACATATACCTACCAGAAGGCAAGTAACCAAGGTGAAACAAGATTTCCTGCCAAAAAAATCTCTCACGTTCATGAATAGTATTGTATCATCTTACTGTTGTTCACCCTTTCTTCAAGAATGAAGAGTGAGGAGGGAATGTATGCTTCAGAAGTAAAAAATAAAAGTTGTAAATTACATGGTACTCAACGGCACAAGTTAGAAATTTGATAAGGTTAAAATTGTTATTGAGTGAGAATTAAGGTAGTTGAGTGTCAATTTAACAAGTGTGAAGAGGGTGTGAAACTGTACAAAAGGGACAGATGAGAGTGATATTGGTGAATTTATTAATAAATCAAAAGCAAACTAAAAGTAGAGTTAAAAATTGAAAACAAGGAAAAAAATCAAAAATTTCTTTACAAGGAACGACGAGTGAAGAGGTTAGGACCAAGGTAGAATAACAGAGTGGACAAACTTTTTCTGTATATAGACTTCGGGGTTGTATTGATGAATTGTCAACGCCTCCGCTATACACAAAAGCTGAAACCTGAATTGGTTCTGACCCGCCCCGATAAAGGTGCTGGCATTGTCCTGATGGATCGTCAAGACTACATCGATAAAATGTTATCCGTCATGTCAGATGAAAACAAATTTTCAAAAGAAAGTAGCAAGAAAGACCAAACGGAACAAATTGAAGGAAAGATAACATACTGAAGAAGATGAAGAACGAATGGATTATCAGCTCTGAATTATATGAGCAAATACGACCCTCAGGTTCCGTGATTCCCCGTTTATATGGTCTGCAAAAAGTGCACAAAGAGAACGTGCCACTACGTCCAATCTTGGACATGACAAATTCCCCATATCATGGTACTTCCAAATGGCTCGCAGATATCCTCCTACCTATCAGAAACAACCTTTGCAAGCATAGTGTTTCTGATTCGTTTGAATTCGTCGACTCAATAAATGATGCTAATGTATCTGGGAAGAAAATGATATCCATGGATGTTACTTCGCTTTTCACCAACGTTCCCCTCACTGAAACCATCTGCTTTATATGCAAATTCATTGAGGATAATAATGTAGACGTGTCTGTTCCGATCCACTACTTAAAAGAACTACTATTGAGGTGCACTTTAAGTGTCCAATTCAAGTTCAACACTACGCTTTGTAGACAAAGAGTTGGAGCGCCAATGGGGTCACTCCTGGGTCCTTTTCTTGCAGACTGCTTCTTGGCCAGATTGGAGAATAGTATGTTATGGCCTACTATCGATATTTTCCATTTGTATCAGTGATACATTGATGATACTTTCATCATATGTGACGACAATACTGACATAGAATTGATAACTAAAGAGTTCAACATCTGCCATCATGCCATCCAGTTCACGTCGGAATCAGAGATGAACTAGGAATTCCATTTTTTGGATGTTTTTTCTAAAAATGAGATCTGATAGTTCTCTTCAAAGACCGATCTACAGGAAACCAGCCTGGAATGGTCAGTACACAAATTTTCATAGTTGGGTTCCTTTGAGAAGAAAGAGAAACCTGATCCACTCCTTATCCTCAAGAATAAGAATGATATATTCCAGTGGTACAATCAACGGGAAGTGAGGTGACTTAGGCAAGTCCTCATAGAAAACGGATATCCTTCAAGATTTATCGAGGAAAACATGAAGCTAAGGGATAAGCCGGAAAGAACCCAGACGGTGCCGAAGAAACCGCTATTTATGAGCGTTGAATTTAAAGGTGATACCGCAGCTGACATCTTGAAGAATCGCTTATGCAGATAACTGAGGAAAACCTTCTTTATGGCTGAGCTATGTATTAGTTTCTACAACCGAAAAATGACCAATGGATATGTGAAGGATAAACTGCAGCTTTATGCTACCTTAATGTATGTTTATAAATTCACCTGTTCGTGTGGAGCTAGTTATATTGGCCGCACGAAGCGCCCATTTTCAAAACGCATCTCTGAACATTATCTGGCATGGTTAGCAAAAGGACAATGCAAGAAAATTACTAGCTCAATTCTCGAGCACTTGGTGAACTCAGGCCACCTAGCTCTACCACAGTCTTCTTTCAAGATCATCTATAAGATGAGGCCAAATAGTACAAAGGGCGTCAGATTTCTGCTTTTGTGTATGGCGGAGGCGCTGGCAATTCGTCAGTATGCTTAAGACTTTTGAGTTCGCCTACGATATATTTCTTATATCTGTTCATGAATATTTTTGCATTTTCAACCTGAACAACAGATCTACCATACACTTTTTCTTATAGTAGGTAATGGGGTTGGGAGGGTCATTCCATTTTCCAGTACATGGAAGAGTTAGCTATGAGGTGAAGAAACTATTGTTATTTAGGTTATAGTTATTTTGTGAAAGGATTCGAATTCATTTCAGTCACGAACTAACATCAGTTAGAAAATTATTGAATATTTTGATGTAGTTGTGTTCTCTGAGCTGGATAGTTTATTTGCGAAGCTTTCATTGCCCTACTAGGCAACATCTTCAGCGCATACTTCAATTTCAAGTATTGAATATACCGGGATCAATCGAATCATATGATAACAAGTACAATGAGGATAACTCTACACTCTATTCCCAATATTTGGAGAATTCGACCAACTTTACGATAAGTGGGGAAGAAGGGAGAGAACTATGAGAATCAAGTTTCGAAGCTGTGAAGTTACAGTTGATATGATTATGAACGATAAACTGTGTTCGAAACATCAGACAGTAAATATTACTGTTTCACTGTGTGAATACGTGGAAAATTCTAATTAGGATATATAGGAAATAGAAACAACTGGTTCAGCAAAGAGACACTATTCAGTGGATTTATTATCAAACTGTACAATCCTATTTATATACCTTTTTATTAATAAATTACACCCTGTGAGGAGATTGAAACAAAGGTGTGAATACATAAAATAATAAAAGTAGTATGAAATGCAATCAAAATTAAAATGTTTGTGATTATAATCATAGTTATATGTCAGGTGACAAAACGAATAATGTCATATATAGAATAATTCATAGGATGTATAGATGTTGAAAGAAATAATTACGTCGATTGTTACTGCTATTATTCTCACTTTGACCTGTCCCCTGTATTATTTCACTTGTCGCACTTGTCATTCTAAATCATCTTTTTTTTTCCTTCACGTTCTCCAGCGGAACATAGGGCTTCAAGCTAATGGCTTGAAGTTTCTGTAGCAGTGTTTATTTTTACAGGATAGGGTTGCTAGCCTCATGACCAACCTTTCCTCTTCAGCAGAATTATTTCTGGCTCAGCAAGATAAAGGAGTGCATCGGCCGGGTATCGAACCCTGGACCATGTGTATGGTCAGCGAGCGTCCTAACCGTTATGCCACCGGCGCACTCAAAAGGAGTGCGTCGCCTGGGGATTGAACCCCATGTTAAATTCTATCTTATCAAACTTCACATCATGTTATGTAGTGTTTTTATCTGCCTAATTATCCTATCATTTAACATCCCCTTCCAACATCCATACATTCTATGAATTCATAGATAAATGATACTATTTCATTATGGATCCAAAATTTTCTGATTAAGTCTCACAGTGTTATACAGTAATATTTACTGACGACGTTTCGACCACAATTTATTGCCACTCATAATCATATCAAGATACTCACACAACTTTCGTACTTCGTTTATATGGTTGCACTATTTCTCATCTCTTGGTTTGATTGGTAGTAATGTTTTCCATATCTCTGGTATGAATGGTGAGTCATTCCTATTGCACGTGTTGGGTGAAGATTCTATGAACAAAGATTCAGTAATCAACCTCTCTCTCCACCTGCCTATATTACTTCTTAGAATTTTAACCCTCTCCCACCCTATTGTGTGGTTGTGTGTTAATGTATGCAGTGCAATCGCTGAGCCTTTTTCTAAATTACTTATCTTCTCGGGGTCAACCATTCTTGCCTTAGCTAAATTCTTATGCTCTGACAATCTGACTACTTCCGATCTATTAGTCTAACCTATGTAGTTGACTCCACAGTTATTGCAACGTATTTAGTAAATTATATTTTATTTTATGAAACTGGGTCAACAGCGTCCTTTAACCTGAAGAGCCTATCCATCAATGAGTTTGTAGGTATCAATACCACCCTTATAGCTGCCTTATTAAAAATTCTACGTAGAGTCCCAAATGTCCCCTCCTTATATGGTAATACTGTAGATACTTCATATTCTTTCTTATTTATGTTATCATTATTAGTTTCACCATTATTTTGGTTTGCTTTTGAGATGAAAAATAGTGGAATGATATAAAATAAGTTGGAAAGTTATGTGAGGACCTTGATTTGATTATGAGCGGTAAATTATGCTTGAAACGTCATCAGCAAATATTACTAAAAAAAACTGTGAGACTTTATTGAAATAAAATTTATCTACAGTAGATTTATATTCTACCATAGTGCCCAAGTCCTATCCTTGTATCAGATGCCACTTTCTGTTTTACTACTTGACATTTAACTTTGATTACAATCACAAAGATTTTAATTTTTAATTGCATTTCACACTGCCATTATCATTTTATGTATTCACACCTTCGTTTTAATCTCCTCACGGGATATAATTTATTAGTAAAAAAGCCTATATATATATTAGATAGTTGGAGGCGATTGGCAGGAAGCCTTGGACCTAGGTTTCGTGCTAGTTGGGA